GAGCAGGCTCCACCGCAGCAACCAAATCAGAGAGCTTCTCCGAAGAAGAAGATGGAGATGGAAATGCCATAGATTTCTTACGCACTGTGTTGAAGAAATCGTTTCGGCTTTGAGCTTGAGAAGTGGGCCTCTTCTCAAGTACGGTTATTACAGGTTTGTGGTCAGGTACTAGGTGGTTGTTTGGTGGGCCCCTAGTTGGTGCAGCTGGCGTAGAAGAACTTGTTAATTTGCTACTGCCACTTGCACTCGAATTATCCTTCACAACACCGTTGATTTCTCGCATTGGCTTCAGTACATGGAGCTTTCCAACAGTTGTTGATGCCTTTGAAAAATCAGCCTTTGTGGGCCCACCGCGTGGAGATTGATTAACAGGTAGTGATGATGATATGGGATGATTGTGCTGGCTTGCTTTCGTTTTATGTTTATCCGTGGAGTTCAAAACCTGCATCGAGTTTCAGAATAATTTAATGAAGTGCAAGTAAAATCTGCAATGTTATTGTGGAAAGATAGTAGAAAATCATCGGCCCAAATTAATCGAATAACTTAATAAAACAACATTTCCAAACATGCCTCGCACAAATTCCACATCCAATAAAGGACGAGAGTTGAAGAAATCGCATCTACAATTAATCTATCGACTTCAAGGTCTAGCTAGTACAAATTTTCAAAAAAACTCATTTTCAGCCCCCATTGGTATAAAGTGCACAGACAAGAGAACAAAATGGAAAAACAGGTTCGATCTATTTCAAAAAAAAAAAAAAAGAAAAAAACAGAAAGTGATAGCACCGTGAGAAAGACAAAAGGTTCGATGAATCACTAAAAACATGAGGAGCCTGCACACGGGAAAAAAGCGTAGTTGAAAGTGAATTGTGCAGATCAAAATTAATAGGTACCTATTCCTGCTATCAAAATGTTAGCTCTTGGGATATAGTTAACGAACATTTCTGCTTACATCCATCTCTCATTTTTTTGGATACCATGGTTGGTGGGATATGAGATAGAGAAATTGCTACTCGGATTTTAATGAATAAAACTGCTTATGTTGATAAAATAAGGCAATGATAATCCAAACACTACTCGGATTTTTGGTTTGTAATTCTCCAAAAAAAAGTAGCCTATTACCAACATCACTGAATTTATTACATATGATTATTTCCGTTTCCTTTATACATTTAAGCAGGAGTTTTGCATGTAAGACACGTGTCCACAAATTTAAAAGGCATAGCTATCAATAACCATCTTTCCACTGAGCAAATATAGGAACAAAGCAAATGTTTCCCTACATGCATGCTTTTGAAGGAATGTGTACTCACTTTCTTTCGATTTTCCTTAGGAGGCTAAGAATTTATTGTTTTAAGTCATAAATGTAGAACTAACTGGACGAGATGTCTGCTTGAAGAAGATATATACTTCTGATAACTAATTCCCCATATATCTCGTATTTTCTTTATCCTGCCAAAGGGTACCCTCTGGTATCGAAAAATACATGGTCAACTCCCGGTTCTATACAATCTGACAAGACATACACACCATATAACCATCCAAAAGAGAACTTGCAACATAGCAAATTGTTGGAGAAAGCTTTGCCATTCAACTTTTCTCTAACCAAATGCATTATCTTCCATTATAAACCTCTCCAAAGGCAAATTTACACGGTTCCCCAGGCTTTAGTCAATGTCACACTTTGAGATTTACTACCAATGATGGCATAAATATTGGCAAATATCACAGAATGAATAGGTTTCTCAAACTGCATTGCTCTAAATTTCTGATGATTTATTTCTATAAATATTCTCTATGTATCCAAGTGCACCTAAGAAGTCATCATTGTACAAAACTAAACGGGGATGTTTTTAACTGGTTAAATATTTTAATCACTAAAAATATTAGTAGGCACACAGTCTACAAGAAATTCAGCTGACTTTAATCTGACAAACGGAAGCACTTTTCTTAATTCATCCAGTAACATGATGAGAATTGGCAATGTTAGAAAACTATTCCAAAGACTAAAGTTGATATAGCTATAAACAAAATAAGTGAGGCATAAAAAACTAGAAATTACGCGTCATAGATCTCAAATCAAGAACAATCGCAATCGCAATCTTACCAAAGTTTTTGGCGTGGATGGTGTCACAGGAATCAGTTGTTTCGATTTTTTAATAGCCAATTCTTCAAGTCTCTGTGTTCCCATCGATAACTATAAGAATACAACATCATCAAGTATTAGTCATATTCGCACAGTCACAGATCATCACCATCATGAAAAAAGACAGTGACGGTTATTACCTGAGGAGCAGTTTGAACACGACTAGGACCCTGAACTACAGCTTCTGCCATAGATGCAGAACTTAATGGAGCAAGTTCTTGCACAGACAAGATGCCATTTCCATGGCTTCCAACTGAAACAGGAACCTCTGCCAAAGCCGATGTCCACTTTTCACCATTGATAAGGCTTGAGGTACAACTAGGTAAGCTCTGAATTGGAGAACTTAAGCCAGGCGATGGAATAACTGTTCTATCTTCTGTTCCTAAAGAAGGGAAATCTCTCTTGAAAGTTTTTTTGTTCACTTCTCCAATTGGACTATTCTTGGTAAGTAAACCATCGGTATTATTTCGACCCGAGTTGGTTGTAACTTTCCTATGCCACGTGTCTGCATGTTTAGCTGAATCAATCGACTGAGAATGTCTTAACCCTTCCCTCTCGAATTTGCTTGACAATGTGTTGTTCCCAAATGAATCGGAAAAGTTCCGACGGTTCCCCAAAACTGACTTGTCCTTTTCACGAGAATCGTATGTATCATGCTGCTTCCTACCAAAACTAGTATGTGACCTCGAATTACCAGAACCGTTATTACTAGAGCTTCGGCGAAAATATGAAGAGGTGGTTCTGTCGGAACTAAGAGATCTTCCGAAATCGTTACCGTTACTATTCACAAATGACTTGTTTCTCACAAGCTTCGATGCATTTTTACCATCTAAAAAAAGAAAACGTAAAACGGAATTTGAGTGGAAGGACTACTAATGTATAGTACAAGAATTTAATTAAAATTTAAAAACAATAAAACTACCTGAATGTGATGCAGATCCGCCACCATTCAAGCTTCCGGGATTTCTCAACCATTCCGGCACTAACGTGGGCTCACTTCTTTCCATAACTAGTGCTAAACATTATCATGTACAACTAATAAATGGAAAGAAGAACTACTGCCTTGTTGTCAATGCCCAATTATTGCCACGTCTCGAACAAAATTAAATTTCCTTCGACAAAAGTTACACCGACTTCTACGCTAAACCTCAGATTCTCAAAATCCGACAAGAAAACATCAAAACCCCATATCGTATATTCCAAGAAACACCGATTCAAATCGAAGAATCTGAGTTGCCGCCCTATACAGGGTGTGGTGACTAGGGTTTTTTTATCCTCTCTCTGGAAAATATCTATCAAAATACTAATCTCAATTCAATCAATCCAAACTTCTCCACCTTTTCAGTGCCGGAAACAGCAGTAACAACAGCTTCGAAAGCCGAGAAGACGCCCAATATCTCAACGGCGGGTGAATTTAACAAAGTTCCCTAGAAGTAGAAATCACCAGGCTTCATGCACAAATGTATAAACCCCAAAACAGAGCAATCCTTCAAAAAAAAAATCCCAGATATAATCAAACCCTATACCCTAATAGCAATCCAACAATAAAACCCAAATAAGAAGAAAAAAAAAATCATATAGGGTTTTTGAAGAGTCCAGAGCAACACGGAAAATTCCGAAAAAAATAAAATAAAATTAATTAATCAGAAAAAAACAGTCCTTATTTATATAAACAACTTTAAAAAAAAGACTGAATCCGATTTTCTCGGATTGAGATTGAAAAACATAAATGTGTACCTTCAACAGAACCCTAGTCCTCCTCCTGCACTCGCCGCCGCCGCCGCCGCCGAGTAGTGTGCTTGTAATTGTCCTATCAAATAGTCTGAATTTCCGAAAATAATAGACGTTACCAAAAAAAAATCCAAAAATCAAAAAAAAATTAAAAAATAAAAAATCCTAGAGAGAGAAACCACGAGGCGTACGTGTTCCTGAACCCTGCAAGTGTTGTTGATGGAGAAGACGAGAGCGGGGGGAGATTACAGAGATGAGATTTTGTGTGTGTGTGTAAATAAATATTAATAATAATAAATATAAATATACGTTTGTATTTTGAGGAAGTTGTGATTGTAAATAAATCTTTATAGCCCTATAGTAACAATTAGATTTTTTTCTTAATTATTATTTTATTTTTATATTTAATAAGTGAGTTAATGTATGCTCTATAAAATTCAATGATTGTGTAGTATTTTTTTTTTTTGCTAGTGTGCAAATTGATAATTACATTTATAACATTAATGTTATTATGTTTTTTATAGTATGAGTGAATAGAAAAACGAATTTCTGAATTCTGTTGATTTCGATTATAATTGGACAAAATTTATAAAAAATATATTGAACGGGAATCGTTTCTTATGAGTCCTTTTTTTTTTTTATTGTTGCATCGGGTTGTATACACCGGATATTTTTTAATTATTGATGTTGTTAAATAATCACACACTAAGTACGTATACACATGGTGTGTGTGTGTGATTATGTGCAGATTAAATGTTAATAATTACCCGGTGTTTTTTATTGGGTATAATATCAAATAAACCGTTTGTTTCCATATCTTTGTGAAATGGCGGATTTATTTCGACCTCTATTTATAGCAAAGATATTAGAAAATGAGTGAAGTTTTCCGAAAGCCCTTGGTAATTTTTGTTTTAGGTTGGACTTAGAATTTATATACGGTTCTTATTTTCGATTCAATTCTCAGTTTCCGAACGTAATTCCAAAAATTCCAAAAATCCAAAATTACATTTTTAACATAAAATATTTGTATGCTTTTATTATATATGTGAAAATAAATTTTGTATTTATGACTTTCGTCAATTCTGAATCTAAAAAATATTTGATTTTGTAATAGTTTTTTCTTCATTTAATTTTTCAAAATTTTGATTTCCAAATTCTCCAATAAAAATCGAAAGCGAATCGAAATTAGTTTTCACTTCGACAAGATATGTCCGATTTCCATTCCTATGTTGCTTACAATATACATATAAATAAGGTAAAAATAATTCTTTTTTAATTTGAGCAATTACAATTTTCTCTTTTTAATTGTCTTAAATCTACGAAAAATAAATGTGTGAACCTATATTAATTGGTCCTAACTTTTTCTCTAAGGCCAACCTATATTTTTCAAATATTTATTTATTATATTTGTATATTTTTTGGCATCATTAAAATGTTATTCCTTTGAAAAGTCCAACAATGACTTTGAATTGGTTGCATATGTGGTCAGATTCACAATAAGGTAATATTATAATTACTATGTTCTACTTCTACATAATAAAAGAGTTGTTCTATAAGCATTTATCTTGTTATATTTGACATAAATTTTATTAATTTAATACATAATATTAATAAATGGAAAATTAATTAGTTCGAAAGTAACGCTAGAAATAAATAATGAGATTATTAACTCTATAATGATGGGTCAATTTGATAATTTATTGGGCTCGTATAAATAATTGGACTTGGAAATTATTGGTGGACCATGATCGAATAAGATTATACTTAATGGACTCAGAATTAAGTCAAACCTCAATAATAGGTATGACTTACAAATATCTCGTATTCTCCACTAAAAAATGTACGATTTATTTACACACCGCACTCCTACACACACGTTCAATATACACACACATTCAATACATCAAATTTCTTCTTTATTCGTTTTTCTTATCATTTTACTCTCTTCTATTTTTCCAAAACTAACTTGAGAGTCTAAATATCCATCCAGGGACTCAAGTTCCGGGATTTCAGGTAAATAAGATAATCTTCACTCGTATAAGCGAAAATATATATATTTATATCTGGAAATGGGTAAATAAAAAGAGAAATACGAGTGTCCATTTTTTGCTCTATTTACTTGACAAAATGAATAAACATACATGTATGTTGGGTGACGAATAATAGTCCACAAATCACACAACACGTGTATCAAATCAAAACTGAGATCGAACTTCGAAGACTCGAAAATTTAAAACCTGGAATCCTAAAATCCAAAAACTCGAAAATCCGAAACAAAAAAACTTTGAACAGCTTGACCTAAAAAATGTTGGCGATATAATAAAATACCTTTAATTTATTTATCCAAAAAATTCCATCTCAAATGACTTTTGTATATATGGTTTTATGTTGTTAAATTGACAAATAAAAATTGTTTTTCTTTTCTTTTTTTTTTTTTTTTCTAGAGAAAACAAATAAAGAATAGTTAATTATAATTGCATAATTATGACGTAATAAACTAATAATTGAATTATAACCCCATTCACCAAATAATTTTCGGATTAGGGGAATTGACCCGTAAGTGTTATTGGGTCAAGCCCATTTATTAATTCAGCCACCATCCACGCTTCTTTTATTTTTTATTTTATTTTTAATATATTATTGGTTTTACATTATTTTATAATATTGGTTAAATGTTCAATTTTATTAGTTTTATATCTAAGTAGAGGTATGTCTTTTAAAAAAACATTATAGCTCCGATTTGTGTTTTAAATTTGAGTTATTGAAGCATGTAACTAGGACCGGTTTGAGTCGGGTCTAACCGAAGCTCGATGGCCCGACTCGATTATATTTGAATCAAATATATTTTTTTAGTGAGTCGAACCGAGTTCGAGCCATTTTATTTAGTCTGATTTATTTATGAGCTAAGTTTGAGCCTATTATAGCTCAACCCAGGCCCAACTGATTAAGTTAATAGTAAAATATATAATATATTTATTATTGTAATGATATACGGCTACAAATTATAATCGTATAAGATTATTTTATTTTGAAAAAAATAAAAAATAAGTGGTAGCGATAACCATAGGTAAAATAGGAATCAAACGCAACATACCCACCCAAACCCAATTGCTGATTTTTTTTTCCACTGAAATTTGAGAATATAAAATGTTTCCAATAATAAAAAATACTAATATTTTTTTTTACTTATTTTCAGTCTTGTTTCTAAGTTATTCCAATAACTTACTAATATCACTTAGAGTTTCTTTGAATTTGCTTCAATTGAGTTAAATCTTGTTTTTTATTTTTTTATACATTACAATTTTATAATAATGACTAATGAAGCCCGATATAAATGCGAAACTCAAAAAAGTAAACGAGCCCAGTTTGAGCCTATACTAACGAGGCCCGTTGATGTATGAGTTTGAGTCAACTCAACGGCCCACTTGCGAGTCCTACATGTAACTAGTCATAGTATGCTTTACCAAAATTTATTTATAATGAAGTTAAGGTGTGAATACAATTTTATTTACCTCACAACAAAATTCTTATATAAATGGGGTTTACTATTCATAGTGCAATTCTTTCCAGTTACAGTGCGAAATAATTCATTTGTCAAGAAATCCTTTAATTTTTTTCCAAATTCTCTCAACCTCCGAATTCTTAAACTTTCCAAATCGTCATTTTTTTCCGATTATATCAATTAGAACACAATAATTATCAATATGGAAGAAACCTACTTCGATTTTGAGATAAAGAACGTATTCTAATTGTCAATATGGAAGAAACCTACTTCGATTTCGTGCAAGTTTGTATTTCGTGTAATTTTACACGAAATAAAACAAATTTATGAAAAAAAATGCATTTCGTGTTGTATTGCACGAAATGCAGTGTTTCATTTCGTGCAATACAACACGAAATGCATAAAAAACATAAAATTGTGGTTTCGTGTATCGTAAAAAAACACTATTTCGTGCTTCTTTACACGAAATGCCTTCATCCATTTCGTGTTAGGGAATACGAATTGTTCATGCACAAAATATAGTTGGAAAAGGGTTTGAGAGGATTGCGATTTTTTTCTTTGAAAATTACAAATGAAATAAAGTCGCACTGCAAGGTGGTAAAATATGTTCTACGAATAGCATTTCAGTATATAAATTCATTTTTTCCGCACCAATTTTTTGGCCTTCCATTTTGGCGGGAGGCTATTGGGAACTCCTAAATAAACCGCAAACCCACCTTTAGCCGCCACGTGGCACCGCGTCAATCTCTTTTCCTTATTTCCGCTTTTGTCCTCCGTTTTTCAACCCTCAACTCGAATCCCGGTCAACTGTTTCGACACCCCGTTCATTATTTTTTTCTTTCAATTAGAAATCTCACGCGCCGTCTCTTCTGAATTTTCCACACCCAACCTATACATACACCGCAGTGTACGTATACCTCCGCATTTTGCTGCGCAGTGGGAATGAGAGTGAAGGATGAGGAACTCGAAGCACGCGAGGCAGCAGCAGCAGCAGCAGCACAGGCCGAGGCTCGACCGGCGGAACGCCGTTAAGAACATAGACTACGACGCCGCCGAAAGTGCGCCGCCGTCCTCCTCCGACGAACGATCCGTGTACAAAACTAGGTCGCTCGACCTGCCGTTGTCGAGTCGCACCAGCTTCCGCGTGGAAGGAGCTGAAGGAGAAGTCGATCAGATTTTCCAGGATTTGGGGTTTGTTCCAGACGATTTCTCGATTTCCGCGGCGGCTTGGGAGGCGAGCAAGGGTTTGTCGCATTCGGGTAATTTTAAGACTGCTTCGAGCGAGCCGAGTGATTTGAATGAGCTGGTGGACTATTTTGATGCAAGGGTTAGGGTTAGTGATGCTGAAGTGGAAGATGTAGTTGATGTGAATTCGGGTGGTTTTCGAGACGAAGTTGGTGAATTTGAAGTGGAGAATAAGCTGATTACTAATGGTGGATTGGGAATTGTAGGTATTAGGCAGTCGAATTTGGCACCTGCTCCGTTGATTACTCAGTCGAGCGATCCAGGTGAGTTTCGCAACAGAGTTGGAGGTAGAATAAACATTGGTAATGGTGAAGAGAAGGAAGTGAGTGGATTGGGAATTGTAGGCATTAGGCAGTCGAATTTGGCACCTGCTCTGTTGATTACTCAGACGAGCGATCCAGGTGAGTTTCGCAACCGAGTTGGAGCTAGAATAAACATTGGTAATGGTGAAGAGAAGGAATTGAGTGAAAACAATGTGAGAAGTGAGGTTGCAGGTAATGGCGATTGGGGAATTAAGGGGAGCAGGCCCCCACTATTGTCCCCTCCACCGGTGAAGATGCCGTCGGTTGTGGATGATAGTAGCTCCACTTGGGATATATTTCATGCATTTGGTCCTGAAGATGCCCAGGATCTATATGCTGTAAATGAAGTTGAAGAATATACGGAAGTTGAGAGGGAAGAACAGAGAAATGATGATGTGGCAAATACGAGGGGGCTTGGTTTGGAGTCACGTTCGAGTTCTTCCAATGGTGGAGATTCTGTTCACTCGATGGGGGAAAGTAATCACACTATCTCACCAAGCGGTTCGTTCAGGTGCAGTATCATGTCTTGGCAGAAGGGCGATTTCCTTGGAAGCGGATCGTTTGGAACTGTGTATGAGGGATTCACCGAGTAAGTCTTTCCTAGTTGTATAAAGTATAATTGTTTTTACAAGAAATATTGGCATATCAAGTATATATACGATTTGTCCATGAATCAAAAGATATAAATTGAATTATAACTTAGTGGGTATTTTCTTGTTCCGTTTCAACTTTAAATTTCATGTGTTATATTTGTTGGAGTTATTCGTCCAATATATAGGCTAACTTCGTTAGCAAGTTTCTATTTAGTAAGTGTAAAGTCCACTGTTATGTTCAAGGTTCTATCGACTTTACTTAATTGGTAGTGTAAAATTCCTAGTAGTGTAGACTGAGGGGGGAAAGTCGGCATTTATTCCATGAAGATTCAGAGAACACGATTAAATGGAGTTTTTTTTCGCGATTTATTAGATATAACAGCACTTACTGTTCACTGTTAGTTATCTACCAGCCACGAGCTTTTTAAGGAATATGCCCTTAGTAAAAAACATCATAACATGTCATCTGTTTGTTATTTTTAATTGCAACACTTCATTTCTCCAGAAACAGCTTATAAAGATGAACGGGAATTCTGATTTCGCATTTGGTGATTCCACTAGCCAATAGCCACTCATGGAATTCTATTCTGTTCGAATTATCTGTGAAATGCTCTCTTTCTTTGGTGTCATTTATTTATCGAACTAACATATTTATTTTCTAGTTTGAATATCTATCCAGTTTATCTCAACATCAATTTCATGCAACCTGTCATCTTTCATATTATAATATCCAGAATAGTATTATAAGTGAACCCTACAATTACAACATAACCTGTCATCTTTCAATTTCGAGTTTGACACCACACGATGCACAAGCATTTATTAATTCATTTTTACCACGTACTTCTATTTGAAATTCCAAATCCGCGAAATTACTCAACCAAACTTATTTTCATTTCAAATCTATATAATATCTCATTTATTCATTCTTGCAATCACAATTTGTTTTTTCACACAAAACCAATTCCCAAATTGAAATGCTAGAAAATAGATTGATAATACAATCGTATAAGATGAGACAAGTAAATTGGATAGTTTTTTCATGTTTAGAACTCATGTCTTGCCAAGGATTTGACCCCCCTGTGGTTATTGGGAAGTATCAATTTGAATAAAGGTTGATAAAGGGAGATCAAGAACTCATATAAATTCTTGGTTAGATTTGTTTTAACTAATATCTTTCTTCTTTCTGTACATGGAATCTACTGATTATGAGCTGAATGTGGAGTTCATTTAGGGCATTTCTGTGAAGTGAATGCGTAATTAGACCACGAAGTCTTTGTATCTAGCATACAGATGAAAATGACCGGTGATTTAATACTCTTTTGGGCCCTCACAATTTCTTTTGTTTAATTACTGCAGTGATGGGTTCTTTTTTGCTGTGAAGGAGGTATCTTTACTGGGCCAAGACAGCCAAGGCCAACAAAGTATTTATCAGCTCGAACAGGTAGAATAATTTATGATGTTTTGTTGCTCAAAAACTGAAAACCCGTGTATGGGGACATTTATCATATACCACTTGGCTTAATATTTCTCCTCTTACATGATTTGGATTATTCAGGAGATATCTTTTTTAAGAGAGCTTCAACACGAGAACGTTGTTCGCTATTTGGGCACTGATAAAGTATGTTATTAGCCTCTTTAAGGAGATGTCTCCATGTATCAATTTTTTATTCTTTTACTAAAAGACGATTAGGAGAATTTCATTTTTCGCATTAATCCTCGACATGAAAGACGTTTTTATTTTTTTCAGGACAATGAAAAACTCTATATTTTCCTTGAGCTTGTAACAAAAGGTTCACTTGCAAAACTCTATGACAAATATCAGCTTCGAGACTCCCAAGTTTCTGCATACACAAGGCAGATTTTAAGTGGGCTGAATTATCTTCATTGCCGAAATGTAGTTCACAGGTGCCCCAACCCATCTCATTATACAGTTGTTTTCGTCACAATGCGTAATTTGTTTTTCACTGACACGTATATATATTCACCTTTTTCTTTAAGATGTTGCAATTATCCATGAGTTGTCTAGCATATGAATGTGGAATGAATATGATAATTTCTTGATTAGTAGTTTCCTAAAATGGCAAATTATATTTGTTTTTCCCTTCTCTTTCTAGTAGCTTTTCAAAATTTCAATGTTTTTTTTGTTGACGTGAAGTTCGTATTGAGGTTGGATAAACTGATGAGTCCGTATTCTGAATTTACCATACTCTGACAGAACCATATTTTTTTCTCCATTTCCAGAGATATCAAATGCGCCAATATACTGGTGGATGTAAGCGGCTCCGTGAAACTGGCAGATTTTGGATTGGCAAAGGTTGGTTTTTTGGAAAACAAAATACGATTGTTTCCTTTATCCGAATGCATTTGTGGATGCTTAAAAGATTCTTTCATGTGCTTCCTCAGGTAACTACCAAACTGAATGACATCAAATCTTGCAAAGGGACACCATATTGGATGGCTCCAGAGGTGACTTTCTTAGATCCATCTTGATCACTCATATGTTTAAATAATAATTCTAAAATCTAGAATTAATGCATGAATTCTAACTGCAAGATTGCCAACTATGAATTAGCTTTTACACATGTTCCCTAATAACCAATACTTTATTGTCTTACCGGATCAATATTTTCGCATGATTTTAAGTGCATGTTGGTTGATTCCCATCCCCAACTCAGAAAAACATACTCCCTCCGTTCTTAAATAGGTGTCGTTTTTCACCTTGGCACAAGTCTTAAGAATGTCAATAAATATGTCTTGATTTTAGGAAAATAGATCTAGATAGACCAAAATACCCCTATTTACTATTTAATGCAGAAAAAGGGTTAGAGAATTAATAAGGGTATAATTGAAAAATATGCCATTATTATCAAAAAGAAAAAGAAAAATATGCCATTAATGCAGCATTGGAATTGTAAAGTGACAGATACTATGGAACAAAATAAATTCTCAAAAGAGAAAGATACTGTAGAACGAAGGGAGTTATATACTTGTTATTTTCGTTGATATTTATGATGATCTTAAAATAAACCGAGATTGCATTTAGCTATTTATTAGCTTATCTAGTTTGAAGTGAGAATAACTAGGAATAGTTTAGACGATTTTTATGAAATCTGTCATTTACAACAGGTAACGAGGAATCATTTGTATTGCATTTTGAGTTGATGTCTGAATTGCTGCTCATTGACATTTGATTGATCTGAAAAATCGAGACTTGATATGCTGTCAGGTAGTGAACCAAAGGAACCATGGCTATGGTCGTGCTGCTGACATATGGAGCCTTGGGTGCACTGTGTTGGAAATGCTAACCGGTCACATTCCTTACTCTCACTTGGAAGGGGTATGACATGTTCCGTAAAAGTTATGCAAGAATTTCATGCCTACTATTTTCGTACTTAAAAATTTTTAGTTTGTAATTATCACACATATAGTAATTGATTTGCAAAGAATTCTGTTTGCCAATTAAAATCTCATAATAAACTGCTCCCGGTTGAACGAATCTCTGCATTATCATTATTCCACTCCGTGAGCCTGATTTCGTAGAACAATAATCCATCAATGATGTAAATTTGTTTTATTCCTCGTTGCATGCTTTATAGTAATTATTCTATTTTGGTTGCAACAGATGCAAGCGTTGTTCAGAATAGGCAGAGGCGAACTTCCTCCGATACCCAACACCTTATCGAAAGACGCTCAGGATTTTATACTCAAATGCCTGCAAGTCAACCCAGAAGACCGCCCTACTGCCGCTCAACTATTGGAGCATCCGTTTGTGAAGAAGCCATCTTCGTCGTCTTTTCCAAGTCCTGCCACTCCACGTTATGCCATGCGCTTGTAAGAGAATTCAACAAGATTCATTGAATGAAGATGGTGAGTAGATATCATATACTAAAAATCTATCTTTTTGCCAAAGACCTGCAATAATTTTATCTTATTGCATGTCAGTTTCGGGAAATAAATCTAATTTAAATTTATCTTTTTTTTGTCTTCTTGTATTTGAAGTTAGAATATTTATGCTGCATAGACTTTTCCGAAGGTGTCCACGGAGAATTGTGCTACCCAGTTCAAAATCGCGAAATCGAATAATTCGGTCACGAGGAGAAAACGAAGTGCTATCTGCTCTAGTGATGTGGTAAGATCTCCATTTGATATTTGAGAAGTTCGGAAATTTTGGTACTGGTGATTTACGAGAAGTAGAACCAAACACCTGATGGACTGAAAATAGATAAGAGTTTATTTTGGTGTACATAAAAGAAAAAAAAAAAAAAAAAAAAAAAAAGGACAAAATTTGTGTGCCTGGAGTGAGATTTTTAGTTATCTTTTTATTGCTTGATTAATTTGTATTTACTTGCGTAGTGGCTGAATTAGAAAGCTAAGTGTAGAGTGAACTGTAAATAGCAAGTGATTTTGTACAAAATTTCTCCAAATAATAATTACCAGTGCCTCAAATATCTCGTAAAGTTGCCGGTTTTTTTTTCCTTCCGAGGCGTTTTTTTTTTTTTTTGGTTGAGGAAACTCCAATTCAAATGTCACCAATATTGGCAAGTGTGATGAAATTACAGATTATATTTGTAAAATTGAGTCAAATTGTACCTTCTAACCACTCCTTACGGGGCAAGTCGTTATTACATTTGAAAAGTTAAAAAGCGATACAACCATTATGAGATATCGACTTTTGATCGATTTTAGAACATCTTAGGTTATATAACCGGTAATTTGGCAATTTTTTTCCAGCCCAATGTGTGTTTGTTTCACAATTCACAAAGCTTTTATATAACTTTTATTATTACATATATATAAATTAGTACTTCAATGAGCACAGCATGCAGATTATTATAGTATATATTTGTATTAGTTCTCTTCTTTACTTATAAATTAGCGGATAATATAATTATAATATGAAATGAAGTGAATGGAAATATATTATTCTTTTCTAATTCAACAGCTTAATTCATTTTGAGAAGCTAGATTTGAAAAAAATGAATAATCATTTCCAAAAGAATTGAATATTTACAGATTTTCGGGGGAAATTAAATTTAGGGACTTTATGATATAGATCCCTGGTGAGAAAATATATTAGAACTAAATGACAAGTCTAACTAAACATTAGTTTCACATTCTTTATAAATTTCATTCCAATAATGCCCCCACATACAAAAAATGAAATATGCATCAAGTAATATTTAAACTGAATTTATCATTTTTTCATTCTACATTTAACATTTTTATTTTCGCATATAGCATTTTTATTATTATTTTTTTTCCGTAGAACAATTTTTTTTTTGTATTTTCGTATTTTTTCCTTTTCTTCTACATAGTATTGAAAATTATGATTTTTTAATTTTTTTCGGCCGTAGTCTTCTATAGAAACCCGTAGAACACCATAGGAACCTATAGTAATCCGTAGTCACATATACTTAAAACCCTAATTCCTTCTTTGAACCCTAGCCGTCAGACACCATAGACACCCATAGATACTCATAGACATCTATAGACATGAAATCAAAAAATCTTAGATCCGCCCCACCAAACCGTAGATATCCTCCACCAAACCCTAGATCTGTGACACCAACATCACCACGCCGCTACACCCACGCTGCCATAACCCCCCAACGACGAGCACCACCGACACCATCCCCTCAGCCCTGAGCATCGCCGCCCAACGAGCACATCCTCATGACCGGCGCCTCCCAAGAGCCGCCGCCATCACCATCCCTCCCCACCGCCTCCAGCAACGCCATAGTCGATTTCATGGTTATAGCCACCGCCTCCTCTCAAATCATGGGATGGAGTTGTGGCGAGAGATATAGCTTAAAGGTCGAGAAAAATAAATCGAGAGCGAGAGCCAACGACAGAGAGATAGCGAGAAGAGAGAGCAGAGACAGAGAGAGCCGAGAGCGAGAGAAGCCGAGAGAGAAGAAGAATAACGGAGAAAAATATATCTGAGAAAAACGTGAATAAGTGGGTTATAAGATTTAGGGTATGAGGGCAAGATAGGGATTAAAAAAAATATAAGGATGTGGGTCATATATTATTTCATCTAAGGATTTAATTAAAAAATTGGATTTAGATTTGTCATTTAGTTCAAATTAGGTTTCGTATGAGGGGCTCATAGCATATTACCCATTAAATTTAATCAATCAATTTTATAAGTTACAGTGTTTGCAAAACAAAATTGCTAGCAAATAATCCGAGATTGAAGTAAAGAACATACGCAAAAGCACATCCAACAAAAGATAAAAGCAAGACCATTGATACGATGTGTTTGGACAGCAGTTAATAAAAACGGAAATGTAACTCAGAAAAAACTAAGAAAACTATATCTCCAATTCGATGAAAATTTTCAAAGTCGAAAAACCAAAAACAGATAATTCTCTACTACAGTAAAAAAATAGAAATGCTCATTACCACTTGAGCGCATTTTCTTAGTCGAAGAGACTGAAGCCCATATCGTCGTCAGATTCTTCCTTCTCTTCCACCTTCTCTTCTTTCTTGGTCTCGGCAGCTGCTGCTGGTGCAGCACCACCTCCACCACCACCAACAGGTGCAGAAACAGCCACCGCACCACCACCGGCAGGGACTGAAGCCAACTTTTCCCTTCCGGAAGCAATTAACTCGGTGATATCTTTTCCCTTAATTTGAGACAACAGCAACTCTATTTTGTCCTGATCGGCATCAGCCCCAACTGAAATAAAATATAAAAAAATTATAACCATAGCAATCCAACTTTATAATTAAATTTACACATCACCAGATAAACAAATGTAACGCAATAACTATACATAACATATTCACCATCAAGTCCTCCGTTTAAATGATCATTTACAAATGCATTGACTTCTCCAATATCAAAACTAATGTAATAAATAAGGACAAATTACACCCAACCACTGTGGTATGCTCAAATTTACAAGCCCCCCTCATATCTGGATAATTACAGCCGCCCCCTTGAATATGTATTGTCTTACATGTAACTCTCACAGTGTCAAAAGTTACCTACTGGAGGGGTTTTTACTCAAGAACATGAGGGTTTTGTTCCATAATTTGGGCTTACCTCAGGGGTTAACCGTAATTTGCCCGATAAAAAAAAAATTATAGTTTTTTTCACAATATCAGACAAACAAAACCTAAATCTTTATTATTATTCTATTCATATTAGCACATAAATCATTCAGTGCACACTTTAGATTTCATAATATACTGAAATAGATACTTAATTCTGAAAAATAAAACATAATATGTGTATATGTATATAAATTCAAGCTTGATAACAAAGACACTTGTAATTTATCCTTTTTCATTTATCCAATTTAATTTTTTAAACCTAATCATATACAACATATAAAATCAATAGATTAATACTGATCAACAAATATACAAGAAACAATAAAATCAGTGTCTCAATCCAATAATTTTAACATATACATTATTAGCAGAGATAAAAATCAGATCTTTAATACACGATTTGAAACACAGTATAGAAAGGGGGAAAAAAAACCTGAGGCGAGAATGTTCTTCAAATCATCGCCGGAGGGGCTGGCGTTGCCGCCCAAAACCGCCAACAAGTACGCCGCTATAACCTTCATCTCTATCTATCACCCACAAAAAAAACAAAAATAAAAAAAATCAAAATTCTATTTATAATGCAATTCAGTTATCGCAGACGAATAAAAATTAGGAAGAAGGGTTTCGATTTACCGAGGGTAGTGTTACTGCAGAAATAAAATGCAATTCTCTGGCAAATGCAGCGGCAGCTATCTCTCTCTAGGGTTTAATGGAGAATAAATACTCTGTGTGCGGGGATTGAAGTTCAGTTTGGGTTAAAATTAGGGTTTGGTTTTTTCAATTGGGCTTGGGCTTGTTATTTGGGATCTAGGGTTTAATTGAGAATTCTCTATTTTATTAATATAAAAGCCCAATTTTCTCATTATTTCAATCCAGCCCAAAATATTATATAACCAAATATCCTAATTATTTAATTAATTATCTACACTTGACCAATCAAATGAGGTTATGGCAGACATAAAAATGGCTTAATTCCACTTTGCACCCTTGAAATATACCATTTTGGCACTTTGCACCCTCGAAAAATAATAATAGCACTTTGCACCCTCAAAACACAATAAATCATTCACAATGCACCCTCAATTGAATAATAAAGGCAATTTTATTTTTCATTGGTGTTTTTCTTTTTTGGGTACAAAATAAAAAAAAAATTGTTGTTTTCTTGAACCTCAAACCTAATTTCGAGCGGACAAAGTGCGAAAAAATAAAAATTACACCGGATTATTTAAAAAAAACTACATTATCTTTCAAAAGAAAAATAAAAAAATAATCTTTTATCACTAAATTATTCGATTGTGGATCTTTTATGTCACTGTTTGTAAAATATTAGGTGAAAATATTTGGAAGAAAAAATAATTTTCAGATAACTTGATAACGTAATAGTTGAATGATTTTTTTTCGTAAAATATTTTATTTTGATAAAACAATATATTTTTTAAATATGTTGATGGAATGTATTTTTATTTTTGAACTTTATAGTTTCAAAATGATTGATGAATAAAAAAAATATTTGACATTTGGCATCCTAAAAAAATATCACTACAAATATTAAATTTATATTTTTTAGCTTTAAAAAATCATTTGGGGTGCATTATGCATGATTTATTGTATTTCGAGGGTGCAAAGTGCCAAAATGGTATATTTCAAGGGTGAAAAGTGGAATTAAGCCCATAAAAATTGAGTTATCGAATTACTCTATTTATATTTGAGATAATATTTTAATATTAATTTAAAATTCATCTGGTACAACCATAGTTATCAAATTAATTATTAATTGAAAGTTTATGTCTGATTTTATTTGTAACTGTCACATGTCAACGTGTGATTGGATGTTTAGGCGTTTACATTTTTTATAACTGAATTTTCAGCAAGTATATTTATATCCTAATAGATGATTTATCAAAATAAAATCCTCGTCTAATAACTTCATTGAAGTTAAAAATAAAAATAAATTGGAGTGTGTGAATGATGGTTAAATGTTGAATACCCTATTTGATAACCCCATTGCAGTTGTTTTAATCAGTTGGATGATGAAACTTTGAATTCAGCTGATTTCTAATAGAATTTTTTTGGTGTAAGAACAAAATTTTCCTTGCAAATTTCGAAAATTCTAAATTTGTTTTATTAGATATATTTAGGTTCGGAATTGGATGTAAATGTATATATATAGAATAACCAGGATTCCAATTTTTAATTCGATTTTCTTTAAAGTATTTCAAAACTTCTAAAACTTGCAACAAATATACCTTAAATTTGTTTCTGAAATTTACATAGCTTATGAAATTGGAATAAATGTGTGTGTTCCAAAATTTTTAGAACTGTAATTGAAATTAATTTTGTACTTCAAGAAAAAAAAAATTTGTTTTTTGAAAAAGAAAATTATATTCAATATGTTCCATCCGAGTTTCAACCCTAGAAATAATCCATTTAAAAATCCAACTTTAATATGAATGAATTGAGTTGAGCTCCAATATGAAACCTAATTTGAATTGGACTCCAATTTCTGGTTTAGGTAAAATAAAATGTATTAATACAATGGAGCTATTGAATTGGACTCCAATTTTTTGGAGGAAACTCCAATTCAAATGTCACCAAAATTAACAAGAGTAGTGAAATTGAAGATGATATTTGTACAAAATCATCTTCTCGAAAGAAGTTTTTGACAAAAGGTTTCAAACTTGAGTTAAATTGTAATATACTCTCTCTCGTTGTACCTACTAAACCACCTTTTTACGGAGCAAGTCATTACTGCTATAAAAAGGTCAAAAAGCAGTACAACCACTCTTTATGAAAACTTCACATTTAGTCATAAATGTGCGCGGTGTATTATAGAAGTGGGGAAATGTGGGATAACCCCCTAGTTTTGAAAATATATAGGGATAGGTCCTAAGGATTTTTCTTTTCTAGTTAAAAACCCAAATTATAATCTTAATTTGATAGACCCCCTAGACAAATTAAAATACCTATTTTACCCTTTAGTTACAATTTAAAACCCTAGATCTCTCAACTCTCGTTCGCTTCTCTCTTCATCTTCCACCGCCGTTTATCTTCTCTCTCTCAAATTTCAGTAGCTTTCACCTCTCTCTCTCTCTCTCTCTCTCTCTCTCTCTCTCTCTCTCTCTCTCCTCTGTATAAATTCCATAAAGTAAAAAAACTTAAAAAAATTCAGCAATGGCGGTCTCAAGCTCCAGCCACGCCCAAAGCCTGCTCCAACAGCAGCACCAATGGCGGCTCCGCCCACGCCGGTGGCGGGAGCACCAAATCCAACACCATCAGCCACCATTACGCTGCCCGCATCATCTCCGCCGTCCGATTCCCCCATCGCTTCTCCCCCTGCTTCTCCCACTTCTCACTGTCACTCCGTTGCTAACAGCCGCCCACCGCCACACCGCCGCCCACCACCGCCTATCGCTCACCGCCGCCACCGTCACCGGTAAACTTAATTTCTGCATCAGTTTAAGATGCTTCAATAGCATAAGAAAAAAGCTTCTTCTTTGAAGGGTTCCTAATTAATTGGGTTTGTTCTTCTTTTCTATTTGCTGATTCGATTTGTTAACTTAATTGATTTGAATATTCCATGAATCAGGTGATAAGATCTTCAATTTCCTTTTTGCATATTTGTTTTGCTTGTGCTAATTGTGAGCCTTGTGCTGAATATTAGGTTTTTAGGTTGAAAGGCATTCTCTGTATCAAAGTTATCATTTATTTTTTATTTTTTTAATGAGATTCTAGATTTTTAAATATTAGGTTCACTGAAGTTAAATAGTTAGGTTATATTCTATGTTTTTAGGTTGAATTGCTCTATTCTTTGTTATACTGAAGCTAAACTGCATCTTTCACACGATTCATAGGTAACCATTGGAAATTTCTGATACGGTTTTAAAGATATGTGTTAGATCCACGAACCTAAAATGTTGATACTGCAAAGTTACTATACATACCTATTTTTAAGAAGAAATTCTTCTGTGTGTGGATGCAACTGTATGTTAATCGATATTTGTCGGTCGACGATAATTTAGTAACATGTAGTAACATATGCACGTGATTGCGTATTTCGATTTATATTTATTGGTTATGAGTTGATTTATAATATAAATATTTAAATTGAACCTGTTTTTTTTCAACAGGTTTTGGTGTTTGAACACCTTCTATGCACTAAGCTTTTGCCGAGAGGACATGTTGTTCGTCAGTTCGAAACAGTTGTCGATTAGATCGAAGTTACTGTCGTGTCGTGTTGAAAAGTAGGATTTGAAGCCATAAATACAAACTATACTATATACTCTTATAGTCACATGTGGTCATATACATGTAGTCATATATAGTCACATGTAGTCATGTACATGTAGTCATGTACATGTAGTCATATATAATCATATGTAGTCATATACAAGTAGTCATATATAGTCACATGTTGTCATATAGATGTAGTCATATATAGTCACGTGTATTAATATATAGTCACATGTAGTCATGCACATGTAGTCGTATATAATCATATGTAGTCATATATAGTCACATGTTGTCATATATATGTAGTCATTAGGGCTGTGCGTTGGTTGGTTTGGTTAAAAACCAGCCATAAAACCAAACCAACCCATCCAACCAACTTAGGTAAATATTGGAAACCGTTATCGACCCAACTAACATGGGTTGGGTGATGGTTGAAAACCAATTTAATGGGTTGGTTGGTGGTTTGGTTGATGGGTCATCCATCTAAATATTTTTTTAATTTTTTTTAATATTTTATTACTTGTTACAACGCTATATCTTTTATAAATTAAATGCGACTAGTTCAATAATATTCTAATAAAAGATTCAAAACATTACGGGCATATATATTACAATTAAACATAAATAGTTCAACAAATAATAAAATTAAAATAGTTCAAATTAGATAATTAGGTTAGATTTATTGCTTTTAGGATTTTGGTCAATATTAAACAATTTAATAAATGTGATATAAAATAAAAATTTGAAATTAACAATACTATATATTTTAATTAAAATTAATAAATAGTTAATTAATGAATGAAGTTGGTCGGCCGATATTAACCGACTAACCAACTTTTTAGCATATTAGAAACCATTATCGACCCAACTATACATGGGTTGGTTGAGATTATCGACCCAACTTAAATGGGTCGGTTAATGGTTGATTAACCATCACAAATTGTGGGTCGAAAATGGGTTGGTTGGTGGTTAAAACCGATCCATGCACAGCCCTAGTAGTCATATATAGTCACATGTAGTAATATATAGTTATACATTAGTTATGTGGTTTTTCCTGATGTATAGTGATGTTGGTGTTTTTCTAATTCTTTTGTTGGGTACTAATTGATTTATAATATCAAGTTCCAAATTGTGAATTTTGTTGATGTAGACGAAGTTTTTTTTTTTATATATATATAATCAACCGTCTACATAATCGTCCGACCGTAATTTTGGTGTAAAAAACAGTTCATGACTACATATAATTATACTAATATACTATTTATAGTCAATTTCTGTACAGAAAACTTATTGAGTAAATAATTTAAAAACTAATATAAGAAAAATAAAAATTAAAAAAAAAAAAAATTAAAAAAAAAAAAAAAATTAAAAGAAAAGTAAAAGAAAAGTAAAAGAAAATTAAAAAATAAAAAAATACAAAAAGGTATATATATATATATAAAAAAAATAATAAAATAAACATTTATATTTTTTTATTATAAAAATCTGTAAAGGTGGTAAATGCAGGTCAAAAATGCTAAAATGCAGTTGGTGGAAATGCTGACTGCAGTTGGTGGAATGCTGAATGCAGTTGGGTGGAAATTGAACATAAGGGCCCAATAGTACTTTTACCTCTCCAGGGGTTATCTCAAAGAAAGAATTTTAGGGGTGGACCTAGCCCTATATAAGTTGCTTATGAGGGGTGTATATCAAATGGGCCCTATAATCTATATATACGAGATACTAATTTTTGAAAATAATTCCGAACAAATGTGTTTTTTTATTTCCTTCAAAGCACACGCTTATAATATCAAAATCATTATGGATTTCATATTTTTATAATATTTTAGGTTATATAAATTGTTAATCATAAAATTCCACCAATTTCAATTCGAATATTTCCAATTTTAGCCCAAGGCTTTCCATTTCAATTTTCAAAATTTTCTAAAAAAAAAATTGGAACAAAATTGAGATTAAGCTTTACACGTGTGAAGAAAAATACAATAGGCTTGTATTCGGGTTGGGCCGGGCCTCGACAAAAAGCCCATATTCCAGAGTTTTAACACGTGTACAAATTACCAGCATTTAATTAATTAATTAATAAAACCAAAAGCAGGCAACACACAGTAATCACTCCTTCCCTCCATTTCTTCTCCAAACCCTCCCCCCATAAATCCCCACAGCAAATTCTCTCTCCCTCTCTTGTAAAAGGAAGAGAGAGAAAATCCCCTAAAAAAAATTCAATTGGGGAATTCACAGAAGAAAAAATGGAGAGAGACGAGGATGAGATGAGGGGGGAGATAGAGGAGCAGCTGGTGAACGAGGAGTACAAAATTTGGAAGAAGAACACCCCCTTTCTGTACGATCTGATTGTCACCCACGCGCTCGAGTGGCCGTCGCTCACCGTCGAGTGGCTCCCCGGCCGGGAGGAGCCGCCGGGAAAGGATTATTCCGTCCAGAAGATTATTCTCGGTACCCACACGTCGGAGAACGAGCCCAATTATCTGATGCTTGCGCAGGTTCAGCTTCCCCTCGATGATTCTGAGAACGATTCCCGCCATTACGACGAAGAGATCTCTGAATTCGGTGGATTTGGTTGTGCTAGTGGAAAGGTGCCCTTTTTTTTTTTTCCTTCTAATTTGAATTATTTCAGTGTTTATTTATTTATTTGGCTGGGAAGAACAAAAAAAAAATATAATAATAATAATAATAAGGTGATGGACATGGTGTTTTAGGGATTGGACGTCCATTGATTTCAATTTTTTAATTGGGAAATTTTGTTGGATTTGGGGTTATGAATTTGCAGAATGTAATTGGGAATCTGTGATGTCGTCAGAATTTATTTTTTCAATTTGAATTGATGGATTCTCGAGAAGTCCGTCTTCGAAACCCCTAAATTCATGATTTAAAAAAATAATCAGTAACTTTCTCCTGCCGATGTTTAGATATGTAAATTGTGTGCTTGTGTGTGTGTGTGTGTGTTATAAAACTTTTTCATCACTATATATATATATATATATATATGTGTGTGTGTGTGTGTGTGTGTGTGTGTGTGTGTGTGTGTGTGTGTGTGTAGGTGTACAAGTAGAAAAAAGTTCAACTTAAAAGCAACTCTTGTCCGTAAATATCTTGTAAACTCCGTCTATTCCACATTGTGTCGTTTTGCACGTCTGCACAAATATTAAGAATCTCAATATACGTGTCTTGAATTTTGGAAAATATACATTTTGGGACTAAAACCTATCCATTAATTCTCACCCGCTAACCGCTCCATTAATACTCTCGTGCTGGAGAGAGTTAATAAGGGTAGAATAGGAAATTATGTAACTAATGCAATATTTGATTTCTAAAGTGACACATTATATGGAAGAAACAAAATTTCTCTAAAGTGACAAATAATGTGGAATGAAGGGAGTACGTCAAACTTGTGGTGCTTGATTGAATTCTAAAGCGGGAGTCAATAATTATTATTATTTTTTTTATTTCTTTTTTCATATTTTGATACATATCTTTTCGCAGGTGAAAATTACCCAGCAAATAAATCACGACGGGGAGGTCAACCGAGCCCGTTCCATGCCCCAAAACCAATTCATTATCGCCACAAAAACAGTTAGTGCAGAAGTTTTCGTATTCGATTACAGCAAACATCCCTCTAAACCTCCTGCAGATGGTACATGTAACCCTGATTTGAGGCTAAGGGGTCATAATACAGAAGGGTACGGTTTATCGTGGAGTCCATTCAAGCAAGGTCATCTATTGAGCGGCTCAGATGATGCTCAAATATGCTTGTGGGATATAAACACAACTCCGAAGAATAAAACTCTCGAAGCAACGCAGATATTTAAGGTACGTTTTTTTTAATGTGAATCAAGCTTTTCACTATTTTTTTTCTTGAAAAAATAATGAATGGTTTGATACTGACGTTTGGGTTAATGTGTGCTAATTGCAGATTCATGAAGGTGTGGTTGAAGATGTGGCTTGGCATATGAGGCACGAGTTCTTGTTTGGTTCGGTTGGAGATGACCAGTATATGCATATATGGGATCTTCGAAGCCCTTCGGCTAGTAAGCCTATACAATCTGTGGTTGCTCATCAAAGCGAGGTTAGTTTCTTGATTTTACGATTTTTGTTTGAGTTGAATTCGGGGTTAGGTTTTACACCCGTTTGTAACTCATGTGGATTAGAGAAAATAAAGAAAACGAGCTCAAGTAGGGATCGTTTTAACACTTTGTGGTAGAAATTTCTTGTTGAGTTCTTGAAATGTTCATCAGAGAATGCTCATAATGGAAATGTTCACCCGTTTTTTTTCTTTTTGAAACTTTTTAGGTTCCTGATGTTTTTTTGCAACTTTTTTTGAGTTAGTATAGCAGAATTCTCGTCATTCTTTCTGTTTTCGGTGCCTCGAAGTTTTACAGTTGATTTCGTTTCCCAACTTTTTTTTTCGTTCAAATGCATATTTTGGATATGCAATACTAATCATCATCCTTAATTTATTTCATTTTAAGAAAATAATACATAAGAACATATGATACTTCTCTTTGCAAAACTAGACACTGCTTCAGGTTAAGTTTTCTATAATCAAGTACAAAATCACTTTTTTACTTGGACCCGGTGGTTTTAGTGTTTCAAGCTAACTCACATGGGGCCCACATTTATCAGTTTGCATCATCAGTTTGCTTCTAGAAACTCACTTCATATAACATGTTTTCATTGTCTTGCCTTTGATTTCCACATTGTTGGGTAATTGTACACTAGAACAACGAACAGTTTATTTATAATATCCATTTTCGATAGGTGAATTGTTTGGCTTTCAACCCGTTCAACGAGTGGGTTGTGGTGACGGGGTCGACTGACAAGAATGTTAAATTGTTCGATATGCGAAAGATGTCTACTGCCCTCCACACCTTTATTGGTCACAAGTAAGCCCAAATTTTTCTTGCCTTTTGTTTTTCTAAGAGATTGTTATTGCTTTCAACGATGGTAGAAAAAAGTTATCTGTTTTTATATTATTTTATTTATTTATTATTATTATTATTATTATTATTTTTTTATTTGACATAATAAACCTGCTCTTTTAACTTCTGAATAGGGAGGAAGTTTTCCAGGTTGGATGGCACCCAAATAACGAGACCGTTTTAGCTTCTTGTTGTCTTGGTAGGAGACTCATGGTCTGGGATCTTAGCAGGTATTTTCTTCAGCTTGTTATTAATGGCATATCTGTATGTGTGTGTGTGTGTGTGTGTGTGTGTGTGTGTGTGGTGTGTTGGCTTACATTTTCAATAGGTAGCAGCATCTTCATCGCTACTATCCTTTACCCCGCCTAGGGGTGAAAATTAGAACTTAATTTCCGATTTCCGCTAATTTCTATCCGAATTTTTCCGATTTTGGAACAATACTTCTCAATCCGAATTCAAAAAATTCCGGTTTATTTATTTATTTATTGGAATTGGAATAAATATATGATATTCTGGTTTCCGGTCCGATATTAATTTCCAAAAATTCCGAACTTTTTTCTGAAAAATACACTTATTATATCAATATTATTATGTGTTTTATATTTTAGGTTAGTAAAATAAATTAAAAAAAAATGAATTCCACCTATTCCAATCCAAAAAATTCCCTATTTTAGAACAAGTGTTTTCATTCCAATTTTCGAAATTCCAATACCAACTTTTCCAATTTTGTCTTTTTTGAAACTAAATTGGAATTAGCTTTCACTTCCGAAAAAATTCAGAAATTTTCCGAAAGGGCTAATTCCGATCCGATCCATCCGATCTCCACCCCTGACACAGCCCCACCTACTGCACTGAATAGCAGTTTAGCGGAACTCTTTTCATTTTTCCATACGTTTTAAACCCTCTATCAACAATACATCCGAAGGGAAGCACATGTATCTAATTCTATGTTTTTCATACTCATAACCTCATTGGGGAATTATCATATGACATGATAGAATATATAATCGAGGCTCGTCAAATGCTTATAGTTTAGGTTTCAAGCCCATGATAAAAAAGAAAATACGGGCCCAAATTTTAATTCTTTTGTGTATGCTCTAATGAGTATTAGTTGATTATCACGAGAGATGCTGATATTATTTCACTCGTTTTTTTTTTAATTGGTTTGAACAGAATCAATCTAGAGCAGACCCCACAAGATATGGAGGATGGCCCGCCGGAGTTGTTATTCATACACGGAGGGCACACGAGTAAAGTATCGGACTTTTCTTGGAACGCGTGTGAAGATTGGATGGTTGCTAGTGTGGCTGAGGATAACATCCTTCAAATTTGGCAAATGGCTGAGAATATTTACCATGATGAAGATGACTTGCCTTCTGCTAACGGCTCCGCTAGAATTTCCTAATTTTCGTTTATTTTTTCGTCTCTCCCTATTGAAATAGAGTCTTGAAGGAGGTAAAGTAATAGTTTGTTTTCTGTTTGAGATTTAGGTAGATGACTGAATAATGTAGGTTATATTTGTACTTGGAGAACCATTTTTTTTCCCCCCTTTCTTTTTGTATGTGATGTATTGGTAAGACTGACTTTTTAGGTATGTGTTTTAGTTCCCCTCTTCTCTTTTTTTATTTTTTGTTATATATAAATGAAGGAATCTGCAGCCAATTATATAGGTGCGCTGGGTAAACCGACACTCTCGTATAATAACTTGCAAACTATACCAGAGATGTAAAGCCACACTAGATTAGCTCTACCTAGCGACCGTTAGCACAGGGATTCGAATTTGGGCCAGTTGAAATAAGCTTACTTGCTTTAACTGCTATCCCTTGCGGGACTAGTTTCCCCTCTTTCTCACTCCTCAGCATGGTGATTTTGTTGTATTTATGCATTGTTTTGATGTGCATGTGATCGTAATATTTTAGATTTACATTATATATATGAAAGAGTAAATTACGGAAAAAAAATCCACTTATTTGTATAATTATTAAAATTTTCTACGACGTTTGGTTATGTCTTACACCGATCTCCTTAAGATGTGATATTTTCCCGAAATATGATTTGAGGGAATATCCCTAAAACATGTTGATTTCTGGAGACACAACATTAATTTATTCAACTTTTTAAAAGACAAAAATTACTCGAATGGGGCCTTTATACAAAATCTTTGTTTTTTTTTTTTTTTTAGTAAATTCAAGTCATTACAAGGGAAAGTAGGGGAGAAAGGACTCGAACCGTAAGGTACCAACGTAATGAAATTCTACAATAGCGTTTTTCAAATGCTATGGATGAGGATTTGTGTTGTAGTGAGCTCTCCTAATGAGGCTTGGTCAAAATCTTTATTTTTCTAGAATACCATATTTACAAATTTAGAGTATCACCATTACCTTTCTAAGCCAATTTTCAACTTAAAAAAAGTAGCATAAAGAAATGCCATGTCTGTAAGAGCATAATTGACATTTTTTGGAAAATATTCTATGAAATAAAAAAGATTTTGTGAAAAAGCACACACTAAGAAGGTCGGTGTAAGACATAAATAAGCTTTAGGGGGATTTTAGTAATTATTGATCAATGAGGGAGTTTTTTGTAATTTAATCTAAGTTTAGGGATGTTTTCATAATTTACCGTATATTAAATGAAGTTACTTGTGGTTTCTATAGATAGTGACAAAAAATAAAATTCAAAGAAATATAACTTTAAACCCGAAAATACTTCAAAAATAGGATGGTAGCATTGTTAAATTAGTGACTACCGGAGAAATTACATCTAGCATTTGATATAAACAATTTCAAAATGCTGATTAAATGTAAGCATTCCTCCTCTTCTAATGGTATTAGCTCCGAGTTAGATATTTTTATAACCGTTTTTTAACAAAGATTAAGGATGGAAATGTTGCATTGTAAAGATAAGGGGGCTAAAATGAGACAAAATTAGTATTTTAGGGACTATTAAATAAATTTGGCGTAATAATCCATTGTAATAAGGGGAAACTACAGATAAATCCCTAATCCAAAACTTGAAACACAGATCAGTCCCTAGGTAGTTTCCCCTAGCATTTCAGTCCCTACTCACGCGCCTAACATGCAGATCAGTCCCTAATAAAATGTGCAAATACGAAAATACCCTTTACTTTATACTAATTTTACATAACTTCTTTTCAACTTCCAACGCGCCGTTTGTATTACACGCTCTTTGCCCGTTACATTTCAAAAATCAAACAACAAAAAAGAAGCTAAAAAGGCGCAGAAAAAACCACCGTTCAGTAATACCCATTTTCAGACCAAGAAGAAACGAAGAAGAAACGAAGAAGAAACGCAACAGAGAAACAACAAAGAAGGAAGAAATTACGAAACACGAAGAATCAACAAACCGCAGAAAAATAGTATAAACAAACCCATTTATAAACAATATAATGGTGAAGCAGGGTAAACAACAAGGTTTGATTTTTAATTTTTTTTTCATTTTCTTGGAAACAGACCCATTTGGGTGTTGCTTAAGCAGGGCAAAAAGGTTTATTTGTTATAGAATTGCATGATTTTGAACATATCCACTCATGGGTATTATGCCTCGACTTTATTCGGTGTTTGCCCTAATCATTAAATCGGTTCCAATATTTGTTGTTCTGTTGTTTGGGTTTGCAAAGATCATTTATTTGTTGTCGAATTTCATGATTTTGTAACAGTTTTCTCATGGGTATTATTCTTCGGTGACATTAGCATGTCCCCAAAGCATTTTGAGTCCTAACAAGGGTTTCATATAGGATATGGGAAAGAGGCTTATTGTATTTTTCGTACTGGTTCTATAGTATGTGTCATGCGCAGTAATGGTATTAATAGTGCATTTAGATGGTATAATCTTTGATGGTTCTGTAGCATGTGTCATATGCCACAATAGTATTACCAGTGACTTTGAATGGTATTACTAGTGACTTCGGATGGTATTGACATGTGGTACTAGAAGTATAATGTTGATGGTCCTGTAGTATAAGTCATATGCCATAATAGTATTACTAGTGCCTTTGAATGGTATTACTTGTGACTTCGGATGGTATTGACTTGTGGTACTAGAAGTATAATGTTTGATGGTCCTGTAGTATAAGTCATATGCCATAATAGTATTACCAGTGCCTTTGAATGGTATTACTAGTGATTTCGGATGGTATTGACATGTGGAACTTTATAGTACGTTGTATTTGTTATAATTGTATTTGTTTTATGTGTATGTAATTGCAGGAATTGTTGTAAAAGAAGATTGCAGCAAGCTATCAATAGGCTGCAGGTGCTCACCGATCGCTTTTCACCTAACTATGGAAGGTGTGAAAAAAGTGATGAAGAAACAACATCATGAAGTACTGAAGAAAAATCCCTTCTATCACTACATGGACATGCCTAAAATAAACCACAGCTTCCATAGGGTTGTGTCTCTCATGCAAGCGTACAATCCAGAAGATCGGGCCTTCTGGTTTGGGGGAAATACTATACGCTTGGAATTCACTCCGCAGCAATTATCTATCGTATTAGGGCTGCAGTACGAAGGCGTACCGGTGGATGTGAATATGGATGGCAGAGACACTGATTTCATCACACGTATTTTTGATGGTAAGTTATCTTTAATGACGAGGCCATATATTGGTTATAAACTGGAGGCCTATGCAGTTATGACCGATCAACAATCTGTTGAAGATTTCAGCAGATTGTACACTATTTATCTGTTTAATACTATTCTACTGCCAAAGGGGAACAAAACGTTAGAAAGGTGGGTTTATCCGCATGTAGAAGATTTGGAGGTTTTAGGGTCTTTTGCATGGGGAAAGTTGGTGTATGATATTCTTGTTGAGAATATGGAGGGGTATCTGAAGGGGGGGTTGAAGTATTTTGATGGATGCACTATCGGCTTATTGGTAAGTGATATCTAATAGTGAATATATATTATGTTATATTGAATATACCAATTAATATTGATTCCAAAATACGCAGGCATGGGTGCATGAAAGGATCACGTCACTAGGGGTTAGCACCAGTGTTTACAAATTTCCCCGGTTCTTCCGGTGGCAAGACAGCAAAATCCCAATCGATGAAGAAGCAGCTAGGTTGCTTTTTGATCAGATAAAACAAGTGCAGGTAACACTTTGAGTTACAAAATATATAATGTATTAGGTATTTGCTAACAAATTTTTTACGTTTATTAGGTTATACCATTTTCTGTGTACCCGAAAGAGAAAGCGTTGCTTTCTCCGGTTTTGGAAGTAATTTCTGGTCCAGTTGTTGGAATTAGTGCTGACAGATTTGTGGAAATAAGTTCTGAGAGTAGTGAAGATGAGATTGGAGACGTGGAAGCAACACCTGTAAGTCATTAATACAATAAACCCTAAAATTCATACTTCCATTCCCAAACATACTATATGTCAACTAATATAATACTATGGTATAACATGTTTCGTACTATTGTTTTTTTTAGTTGCAGCAGAAGAAGAATAACTTAAAAAGGAAGAGGGGGAATGTAACAGAAGAAAAAAATAAAGAAAAAAAAATGCAGAGTAAGAGAAAGAAAGAAAAGGAGATAGAGAAAGAGAAGGAGATAGAGATAGAGAAAGAGCAGGAGAAAGAGAAAGAGACAGAGAGAGTGAATGAGAGAGAGAATGAGAGAGAGACAGAAAAAGAGAGAGAGACGGAGACAGAGAAAGAGAAAGAGATAGAGATAGAGGCAGAGATAGAGATAGAGAAAGAGATAGAGATAGAGGAAAGGGAAAAAGAAGGAGAAAAAAATGAAGTAGAGGAGATGGAAGGTGAAGGAGAACGAAGTGAAGAAAGAGAGAGAAATCAAGGAGACGAAAGTCAAAGTCAAAGGCCAAAGTCAAAGGCCAAAGTTCCACGCGTGCGAGGACGAGGACGAGGACGTGGTCGTAAACAAGTTCCTGTGTCCAAGGTTTCGGTTTCAGTCCCTGGGATCAAGGTATTTTTATCTAATATTAGTATTACATTATTATTATTTTTTGTCATAATTGGTGTGATTTATTCGTTATATAGAATGCCGATTATTACCGGGGAAGAAAGGACTACGTACGTCGTGACCAAATATCCGAAGAAGATAGGATATTGTTGGATCAGTTCTTGGAAAGTGTTGATTTAGGGTAAGAGCACAACCACCTTGATAGTACATGTTAATGTCTTTAATGGTATATGTCAAGTGAATGCATAGTACATGTTGACTGCATGTTATAGTATGTAGTAACTTTGTACATAGTATAAGTTTACTTATACAATGGTACATGTTGACTGCATGTTATAGTATGTAGTAACTTTGTACATAGTATAAGTTTACTTATCCAATAGTACATGTTTACTGCATGTTATAGTATGTAGTAACTTTGTACATAGTACAAGTTTACTTATCCAATAGTACGTGGTTATGTCTTACTGTAGTGAAATTATTGTGGAGAGAGGCCCACATCAGTTGACGGGAAGGCATATGTGCGAACTTTTATTTGATGAAATGCTGAGTGCAGAACACATAGATTTGTACTTGAATCTATTATGTTCCGAATCTATCATGAACCAACATGGACATGAGATTGATTACCTTGACTCCCCTGCCCTGGTATATAGTGGTTTAACAAATAATTATGCATACATTACAATGTTTATCTAATATTCTCTATTATGTTTCGTAGCAAGAGTTAATGTCGCGACCTCGGGTGGACGTAGAACGAATGAGCGATGCCATGTTTGATCGTCTTCTCAATGATTTTACTATTTTTGGAACGATGGCTTTTGACAAGCTAAACACAGCAAATATCTTCAGTAAAACATTTGTCATGATACCTATCAATTCCAGTGAACACTGGTTCCTGCTTGTTCTGAACCCAATAGATAAATGTATTTACCATTGGAACTCCATAGACTATTCTCCGAATTTCCCAGGAATTGCGGATTATGTCGTAAGCCCATATTCTTGTAATTAGTTATTCTTTATTCTTGCGAATTGTTGTAGACTAATATAATATTTTATTTTCGTAGGCCTCGTTTTACAGCAAGGTGGTTGAAAGAAGGTCTGGGTTGGAGATACAATCGGAAGCTAAATGGGTTCATGGATGCAGGCAGCAGGATGGGAACCTTGATTGCGGCTTGTTTGTCTGCATGTGGGCATATTGTCATGCTATAAACAGTGAAGATATTTGGTTTAAGGCAAAAACTTGCGATATCAAAATACTTCGCCCAAAACTAGCAGCTATCTTTCTGAGGCATCGGGGAGTAGAAGTGGAAGCTAAATATAAAATAGATCTGGCGTTATTGTGAAAAAACTGGGAGTGGAAGTGTTTTGGGGTTCTTGTCTTTTTTGTAATTAATTAATGAACAGGTGAATGTGTTTTTATGCCATAAACAATCTGTCCTTTTGTTGTGGAGCTAATAATACTATTGATTAGCTCTACTCGTACTTGTTCATTGTATACATTGTACTATATGTTTCGATGAAATGTACTTGCCTTTTGAACACATGGTACTTTATTAAATGAGCAACAAATACTGTCTAGTCCATTCGAAGATACCTTGTCAACAATAGACTTGTACTTATTTGATGAACAAAGCGTACTTCACATGTGTATTCACAAAAAACTTACCATAATCGATGTTGATTGACTCCCACATTGTCTCCATTATTGTTTTAGATGATTATTTTAAGGTAGGTGAGCATTATTGTTGCGTTTGGAATACAAGATCCCATAAATATGTTGAATTTCATACATGATACACATATACTATACAATATAGTCATACATTGTCTCCATTCATTCTTAATAGTCTTAAACTGAAGAGTTGTGTCTTAAAATGCGATCATATGGATGCATTGGCCCGACAATAATATATAGAGTGTAAAAATACTATATGAATGGCAAACATATACTTTATCAGTGAACAAATCGTACTATAGTCACGACTCACTTGTACTTTAACGGCTTAAACATTATACTTAATTGGTGAACAAAGCGTACTATATTTTTTGATGAATTGAATTGTACCAATTTCATCGACGTTTTAATGATCAATAAGTACGGGAGATGCATAAATTATGTTTTAGATGATTATTTTAAGGTAGGTGAGCATTATTGTTGCGTTTGGAATACAAGATCCCATAAATATGTTGAATTTCATACATGATACTCATATACTATACAATATATTCATACAAGTCTACAATGCTCAAGTGTAAAACTAATACTTTCCTCAATTCTTACCATAGTCGATGTTGATCTACTCCCACATTGTCTCCATTCATTCTTAATAGTCTAAAACTGAAGAGTTGTGTCTTAAAATGCGATCATATGGATGCATTGGCCCGACAATAATATATAGAGTGTAAAAATACTATATGAATGGCAAACATATACTTTATCAGTGAACAAATCGTACTATAGTGTCGACTCACTTGTACTTTAACGGCTTAAACATTATACTTAATTGGTTAACAAAGCGTACTATATTTTTTGATGAATTGAATTGTACCAATTTCATCGACGTTTTAATGATCAATAAGTACGGGAGATGCATAAATTATGTTTTAAATGATTATTTTAAGGTAGGTGAGCATTAGCGTTGCGTTTGGAATACAAGATCCCATAAATATGTTGAATTTCATACATGATACTCATATACTATACAATATATTCATACAAGTCTACATTGCTCAAGTGTAAAACTAATACTTTCCTCAATTCTTACCATAGTCGATGTTGATCTACTCCCACATTGTCTCCATTCATTCTTAATAGTCTAAAACTGAAGAGTTGTGTCTTAAAATGCGATCATATGGATGCATTGGCCCGACAATAATATATAGAGTGTAAAAATACTATATGAATGGCAAACATATACTTTATCAGTGACCACATGGTACTATAGTGATGACTCACTTGTACTTTACCAGCTTATACATTATACTTAATTGGTTAACAAAGCGTACTATAAATGCTGAAGAACCTAAACTTTACCAGCTTATACATTGTACTCTTATGTTCACTAATTAAACAACAGTACATAGGTTTTACATAGCATGTAGACTGCAAATATTACTAGATTCAACACTATCAAACTATGAACTACTCCACCTTCAGAATTGCAATTCTTCACTTCACTTTCTTGATGGACTTGGTTCATCGACGCACTTGTAGCTTCATTTTCTTCACGATTTGAGTTGGAAAAAGTTTGCCCAACTTCAAATGGTTCACACCAATGGGAGTAGCCATGGTGTGGGCAACAGTAAAATAACCTTCCGAGATTCGAAATAGTTTCTGAAACCATGATTATTGTTTTCTTCCCACAATCAAGACGCTTGCATTTCCCTTTTTTGTATTTTAACCCACTCATTTCCCTTTGAGTGGTGCTACTAGAAGAAGCCATGAATTAGAAACAAATGAGCCTATGTGTCATTTATGGTCATATTATGACTTGACTAGTTCTGACAATAAGCAACGGCTATATTATAAGCAACGGCTATATTGTAACGGTCATAAATTGAGTAAGTCATACCATCCTATCTCATAGATAATACCATGCGTAAATCAGATCAGTACCTTTATACTGAAAATGATAAACCATCAAGCAGCAACAAGCATACCATCATATCGCATATCTAATACCATGTGTAAATAAAAATAGTACTATTAGACTGAAAATGATAAACCATCAACCAACAATAGGCATACCATCCTATCTCATATCCAATACCATGTGTAAATAAAAATAGTACCATTAGACTGAAAATGATAAACCATCAATGAACAGAGTACCTAATACATAGTACAAACTACAAATAGCAAAAACATAGTGCAAATTGAAACATAGTACAAAGTTCAAAACAACATAGTGCAAATCACATAATAATAAAGTACAAACAGCCAGTTTTCATTCACTTCAATCACTTGAATAACATAATGGGCAATCATGTAAGCTCTCCTCCATCTTGTCCTCCCTGATGAAAAACATAAAATTTACATTAGAAACAAGACTAGTTAGTTTAATTAACACAAATGCAGACAGTATTTACATTAAAAAAAATTGCTAGTCAGATTGGTTGTGTGCAAGTACGACGATTGTGTCCAGGCTTCCCACACCGAGTACAATTCAGTTTACGAGTTTGCACTTGTGAAGGAATTCTTTTTGTCTTTCTACGTCCCGGTCGAGTTCTCGAATCAGGTGCATTAACAAAGACATCGGGCGGAGCATTACACGCATCGTACAAGTCAAAGTCCTCATCAAACGAGGGAATTGGGTTAATCGTGAATTGATATACCTGTTTGTACGTATCAATATGAAAGCATGGATCCACAAACTCATATACTGAGTATCCTTTTGACTCCAAACATGCACATGCATGTTTGCATGGAAGTTTCTCTAATTGCCATGCTTTACAAGAACAAGTCTTCTGCTGCAAGTCAACCTTATACGACTTGTCCTCATCATATACCTCAAAAGCGGTACTACTTGATCTACAATATTTTAAGGAACGAGAGGCCATATGATTGATTGTTAATCTCTTTAGAATTTTCTTGCACAATATGCCAGTCATTGCCAAACTTTTTCCTTGTCGTTTAACTAGCATCTCCATTATTTTGATCCGTATGTGATCAATCATGGATGGAACAGGCAAAGATCGGGCATCTTTAACCCAACCATTCCAATTTTCTGCCTGATTATTGTTCACGATTCCCCATCTTTCTCCAGAAAAATAGGCATTCGCCCAATGATTTGGATCAGAATTCGAAATAAATGATGCCGCGAGAGGCATAGATTGCACTATACGAGAAATAGTTGCATCGAACTCCTGCCGAGTAGGAGCATATGCAGCATTATGTAAAACACTCGCCCAATATGACTTGTTGTGCAATGGGTACTTCCTCAGGACCTATATTATTTTGAAACATGTTATACAAATGTATGAAACATGCTATACAAATGTATGAAACATGCTATACAAATGTATGAAACATGTTATACAAAAGTATGACACATGTTACACAAATGTATGAAACATGTTATACAAAAGTATGAAACATGTTATACAAAAGTATGACATGAGGTGACAAATGGTACGTTCCAATTTGCATATTAAAGAGAATCAAAATACCTGAGTTCTAAAGTTATCCACCAAGTGTCGAAAACAATATGCATGGTGGCTACTAGGAAATACCAACGGGACGGCTTTAAGAAGCCCCGAATGACGATCAGAGAAAATGGTAAAAGATCTATTGTCATTGTGAAGATCAGTTTTTATCATTCTCAGCATCAACAACTGCGTATGCCAATGTATACAAGGAATCATTTGGATCCTTGCACACAGCAGAAAGCAAGCATCCTTTGTACTTATTTTTAATGTGAGTCCCATCCAAACATATCATCGGCCTACACCGATGAAAGCCGGAGATAGAACTCCCAAAACTAATAAATATTCGAATAAACTTTTGAGTAGCAGGTTCAATCTCATACTCTGCCATGCTACCAGGGTTATGCATTTTTAATGCACGACAATAGCGTCTCAGTTTATCATAACATGTCGTCTCATCACCATGGATATCGCGCATTGCTTTTTCTTTACCCCTCCATGCTGTGTAGTACTGAAGCTCCAGACCATAATCGTCTCGGATATCTTCTAACATACCACATGGTGTGTAAGCTGGCTGCGTTCTCAATTTTCGTTTCATAATTTGGGCAATCCATGTAGCATCGGCTTTAGGATGACCCCTTGTACGAAGAGTAGCATCACCACAAGTGTGCTCAAGATTGCACTTGCGAATGCTAAATAACTTATCTGACTTGTACAATGATGCATAAACCCTCCATTTGCAGTTTTCGTGAATGCATACTGCTATGATCTTTTGTTGATCATTTTTCATGTACTTAAATGATCGATTATTAGCAATAGAATAGTTTTTCAGCATATGCCTAAAATCATCAGGATCTTTAAAAAACTGATTCTCCCCACGGATGCAATGTCTCCATGCATCAATTGAATTTCCAAGCGGATTACCCTCGATTTCCATCGATTGATCGCCGCTTTTGGTTTCAAAAAAATTTTAAAAATGGATTACAATAGAGTGGAATCCAAATAACAATGTACATGAAAATATCATAACAATGCACTGGTTCCATACTATCTTATCCATTATATAATACTAAGTTTTCCCACAAATAGTACCAAGTTTACCTATCACCCATACTATTCAGATGAAGGTTACGTACTATCTTCCCCATTATATGATACTATGTTTTCCCATTAACAGTACCAAATTTACCTATCACCCATACTATTCAGATGAAGGTAACGTACTATCTTCCTCATTATATGATACTATGTTTTCCCACCAGCAGTACCAAATTTACCTATCACCCATACTACTCAGATCAAGGTTACGTATTGTAAGTATCATACGTCCATACCATATTTATATTAGCATGATACTATTATGTGCCATATTTTATACTATGTATCACACAATAATTAACAACCATAAAGAAATGCATTTCAGCAGTACAGAAAAAGATGGAGACCTACCAGCCATCGGTGCGAACCCTCTTTCCACGCGAATTAGCTTCATCTTTGCAGGTCACGACAATGTCGACCACACTCATCTTCATTATCAGATGCAATGCAACCATATTCTCCACATCTTCATCAGTGCCCAATGTCACATACAATCTTTCCCGAGGAGCCAAGTATTGGAGGATCAGTGCATCTGGATGGATATGATTCCATTTGTTGATAATAGCACCATATATCTCCATTAATGTCGAATTACTTTTTATGGAAATAATGTGAAGTTGATTTTTGTATCGACAACTTCCAAGAATCACACTGGGTACATCGTTAGATACATCATTTGTAGCCATTGTGGGGTGGGTGGGTTTTACAGTGATTTTTTCGCCGGAAAAAAGGGGAAACCAGAGGAGAGAAATGGAGAAGAAATAGAGAAGAAAGAAAGCAGATAGAAATGAAGAGAGAGAAGAAAGAAAGAGAAGATGAAGAGAGAGAAAAGCAGGAGAGAGAAAAGGGTGAGAGTGAGAAGAAAATATAATAAAATATATAAAATTCACATTAGGGACTGATCTGCATGTTAGGCGTGTGAGTAGGGACTTAAATGCTAGGGCAAACTACCTAGGGACTGATCTGTGTTTCAAGTTTTGGATTAGGGATTTATCTGTAGTTTCCCCTTGTAATAACGTAGTACTAGAAATTTACCTAGAAATTTACCAGTGCAGATGCTGAAAAAAGTTCGGGGGGGGGGGGGAAGATTTATAGTCCTCACTCTCCCATATAACACGTGTAGAACAACCTCCAGAAACTCCAAGCACACGTTCTCCGGCGCGTGTTTGCAATCTCTTACTACGCGCGTGGAACCGCCATGTCCCACTCAGAAGAAGTGCGTCTCATTTCCGCTAGATCTCTCCCCAGACACTACCCATTTTTGCTTTTATCTACTTTCTCTCTCCCGATATTTTCTCTCTCTACTCTACCCCCAATTTTTCGAATTTTCGCCGAGCATATTCTCCGGTAACGCTATTACATTTCTCGCTATTTTATCTCTCTTTTCTCGATTTTCGTAGTATAAATCAGTAATAGTTTAGGGCAATGTATGATTGATTGTATGTTTCCGATTGATGGTTAATTAATTTCATAAAGCTGAGGTTTTTTCTCTTTTTTTTTGGATGATTGGTTGTTGTTTCGTTCATTTCCACCACCTATCGCCGCCGTGATTCTTCGATTGTGGTGTCTATTTTGTGAATCTGAATCTCCATAATATATTGGTTGTTTGCTTTTGCTGGATTTGAAATTTAGGTTTTGCTCGTCTGGATGGGAATCTTATGTTTACTCTCTTGAATTGAAATTTGAAATGTTGAAGATTATTTGGTAATTGCTTTGAGTTATTACATTGATTTTTGATTTATCGGTTCGAAAAATTTCATTTCTTTAAAAGGTGTGTGATCTGCGCGTACTGGTTCTCGATGAGCTTATTCGTTTTTAGATGACTGCCCGTTGCGTTTTATTCTTTGATGCCGCGTACTCGTATGCTGAAGTTGATTTTCAAGAGAGCACATACAATTTGTAGATCTGCTGCTGAAATTATTTAGCTTTTATCTTTTGGAGATCTAAATATGTTGCGTTAATTAAAGATATCTCTTTATGTAAATACCGATTTCGAGTGTTCATAGTGAATGTAGTTTCGAATATCCCGTCTTTCCTCACATTAAACCAAAATTTGAGCGATCCGAATAGGAAGATAAACATAATTACAATGTTTTAGCTATTCTTTTAGTGTTGAATGTATTATTACGGTTTGTTGCCCTTAATCAAGATTTTCACATTGCTTATGAATTACTTTAGGAAAAATGGCAAAGGGCGCTAGGGGAAGAAGACGCAGTATTGCCTCACGAAGGTGTAGGTCAACACCATACCCTTTGACTTCCTACACCAAAACGGAGTCAATCAAGAATTGCCCCAAAATATCCGACAAGAAAGAAGACTGGGAAGACGCGACATGTTCCGTATGCATGGAATTCCCACACGACGCAGTTCTCCTCTTGTGCTCCTCGCACGACAAAGGCTGCCACCCGTACATGTGTGGGACCAGCTTCCGCCACTCCAACTGCCTCGATCAGTACAAGAAAGCCTACACAAAAGTGACTTGCTCCTTGAACAATTCCGAGGTTACGGAGCTTTCTTGCCCCCTTTGCAGGGGGCAGGTGAAGGGGTGGACAGTTGTGCAGCCCGCTAGAGAGCATCTCAACGCAAAAACGAGAACCTGCTTGCATGAAAATTGCTCGTTCGTAGGAACTTATAAAGAGCTGCGTAAGCACGTGAAGACAGAGCACCCTTCTTCGAAGCCGCCTCGTGAAGTGGACCCCGCTTTGGAGCAGAGGTGGAGGATGATGGAGAGAGAGCGAGAGAATGAAGAGGTGATAGGTACTATAAGGTCGTCTATGCCCGGAGCGGTTTTCTTCGGGGATTACGTTATTGAAGGAGGGAATCGTTTTGGTGTTGGTGGTGGTGGTGTTAATTATTCGGATGATGATGACGATGAAGATGGTGTTCTTGATGATGCGGAGACTGTAAGGAGGCGGAACGAGGATCGTAATTTGATGTCTATGTTTCTCTTTCTTCAGGCGTTTGGTTCTGATGGCAGTAATGTAAATAGAGGGATTAGGAGGGGTGATAATGATGGTGGTGATGGTGATAATGATGGTGTATCGTTTGGGGCTCGTTTGCGTAGGCAAGGTACATCTGTATTGGGACGTTCGGGAAGGAGGAGAAGGCGTAGAGAGATGTAATTTATGGTGGTGTTCAAATAGAATCTTGAATTTCGTAGAGAGAGAAGTTTGTGGACCACCACGGGTAAGAAATGTGCTCCAATTTGTTTTCTTTTTTTTAAATGTTTGCATGTACATTTGATGTTCTGTATATTTTTAGTTTGTAGTTTCTGTTAAATTGTTGTGTGATGTGCAATCTTGTGTGTACTCATTGATGGAAATTGTAAGTTATTCGCCTGTAACTGCGTTAAAATTGGCCATCGTCGTAATTCTTATTCTGTTTGATTTTTAGTTATCTAATTCTCATTGGTTGTTAGTTTAATTTATCTTTTGTGAAAATTAATTCATGTACTTCTTGTTGTGAAAATGATGTTAGAACCTGTTTTTGTGTGTATAAGATCGAAGAAATCACCCTCTTTTAGGTGGTTTCTGGTTCAAATGAATCCAGTTAAGATGCGACAATTCACTATTTCAAGATCCAAGATTTACACATGACAAGAGCTTCGATCGAACCTCCACCCGATTCCTATTTACACACTGTAGTTTCAACTTTCAATGGTAAGAAAAAATTGGAACCTTTGTGAGAGTTCTTAGCACGATCTGATCCGTTTGATTTCCACCGTAGTCAAGAGTGATGTATCTTGAAAACACTTTTGCTAACTATAGTCGTCGTATAATAACTCGAATAAATGTTTTTCCTCTTGGCTCGATGCCAGTTAGTTATCATTATGTATGTCTCAGAGTGTGTTGTGTGTGTAAACTTGCAAAAATCGAACTTCCGAAAAACCTGACCTGACTAGCAATTAATTTTCTCAGCATATCAAGAATTCCTAATCGAAGAGTTACATATAAAATCGAGGATTTCACGACACAATCTTTTTACAATCCAAACTTATACATCTCCCAGAATTTTTTTTGTAAAGAATCAATGTTTCATATGCTTCGTTTTCTTGCCCTATACACTTCCCCGGAAAAAAAATAAAAAAAAATAAAGAACACATGAACACCATTACTGTGTGCATCAGTACAAGTCCAGCAAACCCCTCCGTATCCCGTTTTTCTTTCTTCGATACTAGTGCATTAGCCTCGTCGACTTCCACTTCAATAAATGATCTATATAAAATTGCACATTACTCCCTCTTACCTTCCTCTGCTTCTTCTTGATCAGAAGCTTCGCCATCTTTTCTATCTTGCTCGACTAAACCGATACTGCCTTTAGGTGTTTCTCTACACAACGATTCAGCTTCTTCATCATCTGTCTCTTCTCCCTTATTGTCCATGTATGCATACCTGTTATGATTAACTCGGATTATTTCTCGATTTTAGAAACAATAAATATTTCCTCTGTTTATCCACATCATATAAAATGTAATATTTAATACAGATTAACTAATTTGACCATTTTATAAATTCATCTTTACAAAGAGAATGGTGATAATTTGAGGTATAATCGTGAGCTTACCGTTGAGAGCTTTGGGATGGGGCCCACAAGTAACAGATAACACAGAGCAAAGCAAAGGCAAGAATATCCCAGAAAGCTGTGATAATCCAAGCACTCTGCCACCTTTCATTGAAGGGATCTGTTGCCTTAAAATAAACCTGCAGGAAAAATCGATTATTTCATCATGAGCAAACAAAGAACATAAGCACAGTTTTAATAACAAGTCGATGTTTAGTTACCACTTGCCGTACTTGTACAAAATGCTAATTGCTAAATGTTCAGAATTTAAGGGAAAAGAATGTTTGTATTTATATAATTCTTGATTGTTGCGAACTTCGGACGATCTCTCTGGAACTTTTGGTTACATAACAATAACGAAATATGTGAAGAAAAAAAAGAAAGAAAAGGTCCTAAAGACGCAAAAAACAATTGAATCTTCGCATTATACCTCGTATCCTATCCACACAACCGAAGCTATAACAGTAACAGCTAGTGCGTTCGAGAATTTCCTATAGATGTCCAATCTAGTAGAACTCCTTTTAGCCTGAAAAAAGAACAAACAATGTTAAGCAAAGAGTAATAATATGACATATCTATATATATATATATATATATATACATATATATATATATATATATATATATATATATATATATATATATATATATATATATATATATAGACACACAAATTATAATGTGGTATGTGCATTATACCTGTAGTTGCTCCAGTGTTTTCGAAAGAGAAGTGAAAATCCACAAAATCAAGAAAGCGTCCAAAAACGCAACCGGAAGAACAAAAAACACTCTCGCCCGCCCCGCCACGTCATTTATGCTTCCCACATACTCTGCAATGTTAAGCATTTCCGAAGCCAAGAAGTAAGTGCCTCCAACAAGAAGCACCTTTGTTGTTAATCCGCCAAGAGTCGGTCGAAGAACACCATAGCCCATAGAAACAGAGAGAATAAGAATCCTCGATAAAGTTCTTCTTACAGCCCCAATTGTCACAACCCATGTTGTGATTCCAATAGGCCTCGTACCGGTACTGTTGAAGTAGGCATAATCCAAGTACCAAAAAGTCATCTCCAACAACCCAAGAGCTATAACGGAAGTAATGCAATGCTGCAGAAGCAAAACATCGTTCCAATACCTAACGTACTGGAAAACCCAAACTGCACAAAGGATCGCGTACAGAATCGACATAAATACATAGAACTTCATCAGAGGGGCAATTCTACCGGGTAAGTATCCACTAGGGTTTCTCCACACTGTTCTTCCGCTGACCTTCATTGCCTTGAGTTTCGGATCGCATGTGATGAAGAATAAATTGTACATTCCGGTTTTCTTTACGTTGACTTCTTTGTTATTTTTTATATGCGTGGATAACATGTTTTCTTTAAAGTAAATATTCAAAACGACAGGCCAATTCTTATCAGATGCTGACGGTGTGCTTATTACTTCTCCCTGTTTGCAGCCTTCCAATTTGGCTAGATCGGCGGTGCAGCAAATTGATCTCTGCCCACCATAAGCGGACCCACCGATATTGTCACGATCGGCTGCCTCAAAAATGATGACTTGAACCAAACCGACATTAGCAGCATTGTTACTCCTCCAGAAAGTTACGTTGTCAAATCTAAATTTTATTAAAACACATGATTAGTACAAGTGATATTACAAGAATATTGCCATACACGGTGGGTCGAAATTAGATGAAGTTGTTATAGCATTAGCAATTTCTCCGACTTAAAATGGACCGAAATTTGAAACAGAAGGAAAAGATTAATTTAGGTAATCATAGACGAATCACTCATTACTCGAGTGCACATGAATAGAACGACAAACATGGATACATAGATAAGCAAATCGATTACCAATGACGTAACCATATTTGAGAATGCACAAACAACTGAGGTATAGAGTGGCAAACAGATAAACCAAATCGACAGTTGGAGGGTTTATTTCGTGCTAAAACGAAAACATATTCTCCTTGAATCATGTGATTTGTGAACTCTGCTTTTAATCACAATAAAAATCTAATCCAGATCCAAAATTTTTACACTTTTCCGCACCAAAATTCCAGTCAAAGCAACTCACCATCCGATTTTAGCTCAAAATTCTGAACTCAGAATCTTATATACATCAAAATAAGAAATGAAACAAAATCCAATGTATTTTATTTCCTCAACAACGAAATCAGCCAGCAGCAATACCAATGCAGATAAATGTAGGAGCAGATCTGATTACATTTTCACATACAGAAAAAACAAAAAAAAAAAGGGGAAAATTAAAATTACCGAATAATAGAGCGACCGTGGGGGTGGTCGGAGGCGGCGATGCCTTCGCTGCCGCCGGAGATGAGATAAGCATTGCCTACTTCTCGGAATGGATTTTGGTCGTAGATGTGAATTGATGCTCGAGATAATCCAACGGCTGTTAATAGTATGAGGAATATGGAGGATTTGAGAATGGCGCAGCATTGATCCATAGGGCTGCTGCCGAAGCCCATGGGGGCGGAGGGCGGGGAATCTCGCCGAGTTTCTAGAGAGAGAAAGAGAGGAGAGAGAGAGAGAGATCGGAGGAGAATTTGGTGGCGAGTTTATGGACTGTGGACAGAGCAGCGACTTAACTGTGAAGCAATGAGGCGAGAAAATCAGTCAGTAGGAAGTTGATGCGACGCGCCTCTAGAGCGCGTGCGAGGTACTGTTTGGGGAATCAAAATTGTTGAGAATGAGATAGTTTGGTGAAAATAAAAATAAAATAATAAATATAAATGACCCACGGACTATAAATATTGAATATGTAGGATTTAAAAAATACATATATAATATGACTAAATTATATTTTCTTTTCCTAATGGGTAAATAGCACTTTACCCCCTTGTGGTTTCAACTTGTTGCACTTTACCCCCCTGTCATATCAATATAGGCCTTTTACCTCCCTGTGGTTTGCACAATGTAGCGCCCGTCAGTATATCCGTTAAATGTTAACGGAGAGTGCATCTCACTCGCTCGAAAATGACTTGGTTGAGTTTTTTTTACCATAAATTAATATTTTTACACATTTCAACCACTTTCAACCACTTTCCATTCAATATTTACCATTTCTTCTTCAATAAATACCCCCACCATCTTTTCCAAATTAAACCCTAATTCTCATTTTTTTTTTGCTGCTGAACAACACCCCCCCTTTTTTTTTGTGATGTCTTCTTCTTCAAACAACTATGAAACTGTCGATCTACGATACCACGGGAAGATATGTTCTTGTGGAAGAAAAGCTGTCATAAAAATTGTTGAAACTGAGAAGCCATCAAAGGGTCGATTATATTTTGGGTGCTCCGATTCAAATTGTGGCTTTCAAGGATGGTGCACTCCCTACTCAATCAATGGCATATCAACTGGAACAACATCAGCTAGAGTTGGAGAGGGAATTGAGCAAATGGTTGTAGGCATAAAGACTAGGGTTCAAGTACTTGAAGCTAAACAAGAAATGGTGAAGCAAATGGTGGTTGGATGTCTTTTTCTGTATTTAATTTCAGTTTAAATTCTTGTTTGTAAGTTTTGAAATCAAAAGCTATTACTAATGACTACAAATGTCTCTGTTTCCATAAACTGCATATATCAATTGCCAAATAATTTGCAAAATTAACAAAATATAATCTGCAAAATTAACATTCACCAACAAAAAAACATTTTCCAACTGTTTCAACAAACAAACACATTGTTTTGCATAAGTGGCCAAAATAAATAACCAAACAAATAACTTGTTCATTGTTCAACAGACAACAAAAGATCCACTGAGCCAACTAACAAAAAAATGATCTGTTTAGATTAACTAACAAAAACATGGCTCTCAATGGAAAAAGTAAAAATCATAAAATTACTTCAACTCAGTTTGGAATCAAGGCATCCAAACTGGTTTTTTCTTACCTTTCACTTGCCTTTTTCCCTGCTTTTTACTACCAACTGGAGCTGTTTTTGATCTCTGGAACAATGCTCCATTAGGCCCATGCAGTAATGTTGGTTGAGAAGATGTAGTTTGGGAAAATAAATTCTAAACCAAAAAACATAAAAGGTGGTTAAATATTTACAAATCAGGTCTGAAAAATGAAATAAATGTGAAATGCAAACTAACCTCAAAAGTGGACTGTGATAAAGGTGGTTGGGAGGAGAGACTTGAATGCAGTGCTACAGGTACTTGAATTGCAGGACTTTGTGCAAATGAATTCTGCAGAAACAATAAATCTAGTTAGATATATAAATTTAAAAATATTCAATGATAAATATTGAGACAAAGCAAATACTCAATGATAAAATATTGAAACAAAACAAATACCTCAAAGGGAACCGGTTGAGAAATGCCTTCACTGTTTGCAGGTACTTCAATAGGAACTGATGCCCTCTTAACTCTGGGAGGTTGGGGATTTTTTGCCTGCAATAAATGAATAGATAAAAAATTAGTATTATCCAAATAATATGAAAATGAAAAGTACAAATTAAGTAAATAAATTACCTTCAACAACTTAGACTTAGGATGCATTTGTCCCTTGCATCCTCTTTTATTATGTCCAGTTTGGAGGCACTTGGCACATGTGACTGCCAATTTCTTTCTTGAAACCTTAGAAGGATTTCTGCTGCCTTGTTCATCAGCTGTTTTGTTTCTTTTCTTTTTTGGTCTTCCTGGTTGTTTCTTAATAATTGGAGGCAGAAGTTGTGGCAATCCAGTCATGACATAATCATGTTCTCCTGGCACTGGACATATTTGAAAGTTGTAGGTGGCCAAATAACCTTCCCTAGTATAGCATGGATGCACATAGTCCTCTGGCTGATGCTTGTTCATATATATTGCACTGACTGCATGCTTACATGGCAGTCCACTCACATCCCACATCCTACAGGTGCAACTTCTTGCTTCAAGATTAACTGAGCATTGTCTAACATGAGGCCCCTCATGGCACTCTACTTCATATAGCATCCCCCCAGACCAAGTAGGAAAGCAATTAGCACTGGCTTCTTTGATTTTCTCCAATTTCTTGAAGATATTAGGACCAAGCTTTCCCACATGCTTCAGCATACCATTTCTTTTTACTTGAAACCTTGTCATTAGAGCTTTTCTAATCCATTCCAGCATAGAAATGATGTGCATATCTCTGGCATCTATGATGTAGTTATTCCAGCTTTCATTCATATTGTTCACAAGTATATCACACTTAGCTCTTGGACTGAAATGTGACCTGGCCCAGTTTTGAGGAATAGCATTCATTAACCACTTGAATGCACAAGGACCTTCCTCTCCATTCTCAGCAACAGTTGGTGGATCAGCCTTTTTTATTTCATTCATGTAGTACTGCCATTCATTCTTGTTTGCAGTAGATGCTGCTTTCCAGAATAGATCCTTCAATTCTTTGCCTTTATACTTCATTTTGAAATTGACATACATGTGTCTGATGCAGTATCTGTGCTCCACACCTGGCATGAGTTCATTTATGGTCTCAACTAGACCTTTTTGTCTGTCAGAAATAAACACCCACCCTCTTTCTTGAACACTTCCCATATCATTGAGTAATTGGAGCAGAAACCATGACCAAGTCTACTTGCACTCAGATTCTACAAAAGCAATTGCAAGTGGGAAGAGATTGTCATTCCCATCTCTGCAAACAGCACTCAAAAGCTGACCACCCACTGATCCTTTGAGGAAACATCCATCTAACCCCACTATAGGTCTACATGCTGCTAAATACCCACTTTTTTGTGCAGCCAACCTAGCATACAGCCTTAAGAACCTAGGTTGAGTTCCTCTGTTATTTGCTTCTGCAGTTTGAATCTTGAAACAACTCCCAGGATTGTGGTGTAGCACTGTTGCACAGTAGTCTCTCAGCAGTGCATATTGCTTCTCTATGTCTCCCTCCACAAGCTTCTTTACTTTATGCTTGGCTCTATAGACTTGCCACCTACTGATATCAACATTAAGGTCTTTCCTTACCTTTCTCTTCATGGACTTCACTTTTATTTCATGGTTGTCTCTCAAATCATCAAGATATTCTTCAGCTAAGAATCTGGAATTTACATGTCCATTTTCATGTACTCTTCCACACTTGTGCTCTGATATGAATGACTTGATCTGAAATGTTGATGTATTGCCAATAGGTGATGCATGAATCCTCCAGCCACAGTCTTGCTTGCACTTGGCAGTTATTTTTTTGTTCTCATTCTTTATGTAGGTGATAGCATGACCTCTGAGTACATTCCATCTGACCATAGCTTTTCTAAAAAGTTGTGGTGTGGAGAACTTCAACCCTACAGACAAAACAGGATTCTTCATGCCAGTAGCCTCATTGAATTCCTCATACTGTTCACCTTCAGCATCACTATTCAAGATGTCTTCAGCTTCCATAGGATCTCCACAATCAGACCACCATTCTTCCACTTGCACATCAAGACCCTTACTTGCCTCTTTTCCAATAGTTTCACTCATAAAAATATCATCATGTGGGACCTCCAGGCCTTCTTCAAACCAGCTAGGATGACTACTGACTTCAGATGGTGGTCTATCTTCATCTTCTTCATAATCTTCATCATCACTATCATCATCTTCTTCTTCTTGCTGATTTTCTTCTTGTTGTTCTTCTTGGTGGTTTGTTTCTTGTTCATTAGCTTCTGGAAACATCTCTGCAAACACTTCATTAATAGCTTTATCAATATCTTCATCTTCTGGATCAATATTTCTCCCATCTTCTTCTTCAACATTTTCTGCATACATGCAAATGAAATCTAGGCCTTCATAAGCTGTAACCATCTGAATTACATCCTCATCCCCCTTTAATTTTTTCAAACCTCTATCTAAAGTTTCACCAGCCACTCTATAGTAGATCAAACATCCCTCATTGATTCCCAACTGAGAGTGATACAACTGCTCAAAGTACATATAAGACAGTGTGGCTCTATCTTCAATTTCTAAAAACTCCACCATTCCTCCAACATACTTGATCATAGGTTTCCACATAAAATTTCCTCCATAATGGAATTCTATAGTCACAGGGTTCCTATAATAAGAAAAAAATACATAATGCATAAGATTAAGTACATAATTAGAGCTGAAAGAATATAAAAAAAAAGTTCCAGATAATGGCTAATTATGTACTGCAAGTGGATAAAATTGGTCCAAAATTGGGAAATTACATAATGCATAATATTCAGTACATAATTAGAGCTGAAAGAATATAAAAAAAGTTCCAGATAATAGCTAATTATGTACTGCAAGTGGATAAAAATTGGTCCAAAATTGGGACCATTCTTCCAAAGAATAAAAAAATCGAACAGGGACCACAATACACATTGAAAGCAGACAAAGTGACATAAAAGAGACAATTCGAACAATATAATAAGGGCAAAATCTGAGACCAATAAAAAATTTCAGTATTTCGCTCAGATAAATTAGGGATTCGAGCCATATCATAAAAAAAAATTGTGGACGAAAAACCTGGGTATCTCTATTTAACGAAATAAAAACAAAAATCAGCATAAATATTGCATAAATATTAACGAAGAAGAAATTAAAATGAATAACTTACTTGGGAACTTCCATGACTCCTTCGCAATTCGATGTATTGTGCAAGCACCTTCTTTCACCTTCTTTGCACCTTCTTATTGTCGTAATCACATTCTTTGAGCACTAACTCCCTAATCTTGCGAAGAACTGGTTGAATAC